ATCATTACACCAGTAAACATCAGTAATGCTATCATTACACTAGTTTAATTTAGGTGTTAACATTTTGTAACCTGTAGAAATAATCAGAAACTTTGCAAAGTCAAAATCCAAGATGGCCACCTGTCTGCCATTTTGTTTTTCCGGTCTGTCCCCAAATTAGATGGGCACAACTTGGGACCAAGGGGAGCCTACATATGAAATTTGAGAGAGATCCATTGAGTACTTTTCAAGGAATAGCAATAACAAGCTTCAATGAAAACATCCACGATAGCCGCCTGTTACCCATTTTGATTTTTTACCCGTCCCAAAATCAAACGGGCACAACTAGGAACCAAAGAAAACCTACGTATGGAATTTGAGGAAGATCCATCCAGTACTTCTGAAGAAAGGGCAATATTATCTGATTCTTACAGTGAATGTGTAATGTTAGTGTTAATATCAATCATACCAACATAATCAATGTGATAACTTTAAACCACATAAAGGAACCATGACCAGTCATAGTAAAACAGGATATGTGTAAGTCAGTGCAGAAGATAACACCATCTGTCAAGTATCAAATTATCTTCATCATATGTTGCACTTTCATCCTCTTCAGATTTATCTCTATTTTAGGAGATAAAATTATGGCTACAATTGTTTCTGTTGTGATAAAATTAAGACCTACTCAATCCATCTAAAGATTTCAACAGCAGACCTACTTCATCTGATTTATCAGCACAAACCAGATGTCAGTCACAATCACTTTTCACATTTTTATAGATTCAACTTTAAATAAAACAGAAAACACACTTTGTCAGTAGAGTACCTTTAAATTTGATTTCCACAGCTGGAGAACAAAATATTGCAGGAAATCAAGTAAATGGATTTTAACAAGTTTTCAATTACTTATTTCCGGTAAAAATTTCAGACACAAGTATACCAGTATGTAAAATACAGTTACAATTTTCCTGTTCCTCATGACTGTAACCCTAACATGAAACAGTTATCACAACTGTCTTGTAGCCCATACATTGGTGAATTTCATCAATAGAATACTGTTTTTTGTCAGAGTATTTATGTTCTGAAATAGATGGCAAATGTCCCTACACTACCATTAATGGAGCAGATGTTTCTCCGACAGAATATCTTGTCACATGGGATCCCTTTAACTAACATAATCAGGAAGAGCCTGACCTAACCCCATAGGGGCATGACCTTTTCATACCCAACTCAAAGTATAAAAGGAAACATCTTCAGTGACCATATTCAAGAATGAAGTGACAGCAATCCCTTTACCTCAGCATAGGTAAATCTGCTGACCTCTCAGGGAGGAGGTCCATCTACCTCACAAGAAAGATGTCCATCAACTGACCTCACCAGGAAGAGGTCTATCTCCTGACCTAACCAGGAAGAGGTCTATCTACTGACCTCACCAGGAAGAGGTCTATCTACTGACCTCACCAGGAAGAGGTCTATCTACTGACCTAACCAGGAAGAGATTCACATACTGACCTAATTTAACCAGTCTATAACACCTTTCATACCAAGGCATGTATCAACTTGACCAGTCTATAACACCTTTCATCCCCAGGTATATATCAACTTGACCAGTCTATAACACCTTTCATACCCAGGTGTATATCAACTTGACCAGTCTATAACACCTTTCATCTCCATTTGTATATCCACTTGACCAGTCTATAACACCTTTCATCCTCAGGTGTATATCAACTTGACCAGTCTATAACACCTTCCATCTCCATTTGTATATCAACTTGACCAGTCTATAACACCTTTCATCCCCATGTGTATATCAACTTGACCAGTCTATAACACTTTTCATACCCAGGTGTATATTAACTTGACCAGTCTATAACACCTTTCATGCCCAGGTATCTATCAACTTGACCAGTCTATAACACCTTTCATCGCCAAGTATGTATCAACTTGACCAGTCTATAACACCTTTCATCCCCAGGTGTATATCAACTTGACCAGTCTATAACACCTTTCATCCCCAAGTATATATCAACTTGACCAGTCTATAACACCTTTCATCCCCAGGTGTATATCAACTTGACCAGTCAATAACACCTTTCATCCCCAGGTATTTAATCACTTATGCAGTTCAACAGCTTCTATATATATTGTTTTGTACAGGTAGGTATCTTTAGAATATACAGGTAGATACATACCAGTATTAACCCATAGGTTACAGTAGGTCTAGATAAATTCACTACTTTACTAGATAAACGAAAAACCTGAACAGCAAAAAAAAACACACCAATACAAAATTAAATTATCATACCATATGTGTTGTATGATTCAAGTTTAACTCAATTTGATGTAATATGCCATGGTCTAAATTTGAGTTTATAAAAAAATTGTTTCTGAAGTATCATTGAAAGAATATGCAGAAATTCAATAAACTCTACAAGTGGAAATCACAGCAAGGTCAATCCAAATAAGACATGAGATGATGTTAAAAGCCTTTTTATATATCACTTAATTTTCTTGCGAGAATCTGAAACTGAAAACATCTAATTATATAACAAGTTAGAATATAATAGTTGTCATACAGTTTCATCATCAGTCTGACATTGTCTGACATTCTCATCATCAGTCTGACTGTCTCATCATCAGCCCGACATTGTCTGACATTCTCATCATCAGCCTGTCATTGTCTGACAGTCACATCATCAGCCCCACATTGTCTGACAGTCTCATCATCAGTCTGACATTGTCTGACAGTCTCATCATCAGCCTGTCATTGTTTGACAGTCTCATCATCAGTCTGACAGTCTCATCATCAGTCTGACTGTCTCATCATCAGCCCAACGTTGTCCGACAGTCTCATCATCAGTCTGACATTGTCTGACAGTCTCATCATCAGCCTGACAGTCTCATCATCAGTCTGACATTGTCTGACAGTCTCATCATCAGTCTGACATTGTCTGACAGTCTCATCATCAGTCTGACATTGTCTGACAGTCTCATCATCAGTCTGACTGTCTCATCATCAGTCTGACATTGTCTGACAGTCTCATCATCAGCCTGACAGTCTCATCATCAGTCTGACATTGTCTGACAGTCTCATCATCAGCCTGTCATTGTTTGACAGTCTCATCATCAGCCTGACAGTCTCATCAACAGTCCCATCATCAGTCTGACAGTCTCATCATCAGCCTGTCATTGTTTGACAGTCTCATCATCAGTCTGACAGTCTCATCATCAGTCTGACTGTCTCATCATCAGCCCAACGTTGTCTGACAGTCTCATCATCAGTCTGACATTGTCTGATAGTCTCATCATCAGTCTGACATTGTCTGACAGTCTCATCATCAGTCTGACATTGTCTGACAGTCTCATCATCAGCCTGTCATTGTCTGACAGTCTCATCATCAGCCTGTCATTGTCTGACAGTCTCATCATCAGCCTGTCATTGTCTGACAGTCTCATCATCAGCCTGTCATTGTCTGACAGTCTCATCATCAGCCTGTCATTGTCTGACAGTCTCATCATCAGCCTGTCATTGTCTGACAGTCTCATCATCAGCCTGTCATTGTCTGACAGTCTCATCATCAGCCTGTCATTGTCTGACAGTCTCATCATCAGCCTGTCATTGTCTGACAGTCTCATCATCAGTCTGACAGTCTCATCATCAGCCTGACATTGTCTGACAGTCTCATCATCAGCCTGTCATTGTCTGACAGTCTCATCATCAGTCTGACATTGTCTGACAGTCTCATCATCAGCCTGTCATTGTCTGACAGTCTCATCATCAGCCTGTCATTGTCTGACAGTCTCATCATCAGTCTGACAGTCTCATCATCAGCCTGTCATTGTCTGACAGTCTCATCATCAGTCTGACAGTCTCATCATCAGCCTGTCATTGTCTGACAGTCTCATCATCAGCCTGACATTGTCTGACAGTCTCATCATCAGCCTGTCATTGTCTGACAGTCTCATCATCAGTCTGACAGTCTCATCGTCAGCCTGACATTGTCTGACAGTCTCATCATCACTTTGACCATCTCATCAACACTCTCATCATCAGCCTGACATTGTCTGACATTCTCATCATCAGCCTGTCATTGTCTGACAGTCTCATCATCAGCCCAACGTTGTCCGACAGTCTCATCATCAGTCTGACAGTCTCATCATCAGTCTGACATTGTCTGACAGTCTCATCATCAGCCTGACAGTCTCATCATCAGTCTGACATTGTTTGACAGTCTCATCATCAGTCTGACAGTCTCATCATCAGTCTGACATTGTCTGACAGTCTCATCATCAGTCTGACATTGTCTGACAGTCTCATCATCAGCCTGTCATTGTCTGACAGTCTCATCATCAGTCTGACAGTCTCATCGTCAGCCTGACATTGTCTGACAGTCTCATCATCACTTTGACCATCTCATCAACACTCTCATCATCAGCCTGACATTGTCTGACAGTCTCATCATCAGCCTGTCATTGTCTGACAGTCTCATCATCAGCCCAACGTTGTCCGACAGTCTCATCATCAGTCTGACATTGTCCGACAGTCTCATCATCAGTCTGACATTGTCTGACAGTCTCATCATCAGCCTGACAGTCTCATCATCAGTCTGACATTGTTTGACAGTCTCATCATCAGTCTGACATTGTCTGACAGTCTCATCATCAGCCTGACAGTCTCATCATCAGCCTGTCATTGTCTGACAGTCTCATCATCAGTCTGACATTGTCTGACAGTCTCATCATCAGTCTGACAGTCTCATCATCAGTCTGACATTGTCTGACAGTCTCATCATCAGCCTGACAGTCTCATCATCAGCCTGTCATTGTCTGACAGTCTCATCATCAGTCTGACATTGTCTGACAGTCTCATCATCAGTCTGACAGTCTCATCATCAGTCTGACATTGTCTGACAGTGTCTCTGTCAGTCTTCTTTTGTCATTGACTCAATAAATACCAATAAATCTAAAGAGCAATATATGCTAGCATGTGGGAATTATTTATGAAAATGTCTTACCTGTATATATGATATAATGCTGTTTTTATTTAAGGTTGTTGACAGTCTTACTGCCCACAGGTTGTGGCGGAGAGGTTAAAATAACAGAAGAATCAGGGGATGTATTACTCGAGGTTGACAAGGTTTTATCAGCATCAGGAGAAATCAGCTGTTCAGGTACACCTACATCCTGGATATCTTTCCTAAGTGGCTGACTTGGCAAATCTTGAGATTGATTTTCTGGGAGAAAATTTGAACGCTGTATTTCTGTGCTGGGCTGTAATGAAATATTAGTTTTTCCCTCTGTATCAATGCTATCAGTATAGTTGTTTGTAGTAGGCGTTACACAACCCCCTTGACTGCACTGGTCCTGCTGTCCCTGATCCACCCCATGCATAGTGTCCCCACCACATACATCCCCAGCCACTACCTCCTCGGTATGATTTTTAGATCCATCCTCACTAGATTCGTTGCTAATATCTTTGTTTGAAGACTCGGACACATTTATATTACAGACTTTTTTACCATTTTTGAATTCCTCTATATTGATTGTTAAGATTTCTTCTTGTTCACTGCCACAGACTGCATGTTCAATAATATGAGGTATACTCAATTTCACAGTTGAATCCTCAGTAACACTCTCACTAAATTTCCCTGCTTCAGGATTGGAGCAAATATTTCCTTGAATACATAATTCTTTGTTAATAGAGTCTTTGGCACTTTCTGTTTTGGACTGAATTTTGGCAGGAGTACTTTTCTGTGAAACCCCGTTATCGTCAAAAGCAATCCAGTTGTCACGCACATGACTTGACACAGCTGGGGTGGGCTGTTGACTTGGTGTCCCCGATTGGGGTTTTAACACTGGATTGTAGTAGAATTTGGGAGAGGCAGTTTGTGGTGGGATGTTGGTATGCCCTACAGATTTGACAGGGGAGGCAGCAGGTGAGAGAGCAGGAGAAAGACTCGGGGGGATGAGGATTCTCTTTGGTGACTGACCAACTGACCCATCATTCTGAAGCAGAAATGCTGATTTTGTGTGGGTAAAAAGATGTTCCTCACTGAAATTGAAAACATTTGAGGCTTCACCGATACTTCCTCTGGCCTTCCAGGGACTTCTCTGTCTTATACAACTAAAATCCTCTGCAGGAAGCTTGATCTTCAGCTTCTCTAGATGTTCTGGTGTTTGCTGTTTCTCCGGGGAGCTGATTTCTCTGTATTCATCTAGCGTGACAACATTGATGGGTGTTGTACTCCTTGGGCGTTCCACAGGTCGAGTCGTTACCTGTAACCTCTGAATGCGCTTTTCTAGTGCTTTGCGTTTTGACTCTAATTTGACATGTTCCAGTTCCTGAAGTAGTGCAGGCAGGGGACTGCGCTGTAGATTAGGGGAAGAGGTGGGGGTGTTGTCCTGAGAAGCATCGTTGTCAACCACTCGTGAGTATCGACTAGGGAATGGTGATGTGGGTACTTTACCTGGAAAGTCATGCTTTGTTATACGTCCATCTGTCATAGACAGGTAACCACTCTGTATATAACCATTGTCAGAATCGGAACTGTCAGAGAATGAATCATCTGGACTTGGTCGTTGATTCATAAACTCACTGTTATCTGGCCTTGACTCTTTAACATTATTTGTCCCACTCTGCCCTTCACTTAATTTCTCATACACATGTCTATTACTTGGTTCATATTTAGAACTGTCATGCTTTCCAAAAATCTGGCGCTTTTTAAAGACCTCTAATTTGTTAGCCTCATCACTTGATTCACTGACACTTTCATCATTGGTGTTAGACTGAATGAATGCAATATCCTCCCCAAGATCAATGGTATCAAATGTAGCAAGAGGTGCCCTCACATCAAAACGACCTTCAGACTTGGAAACTAAAGACTTATGCATTTTGTGCAGAAGACCGACATGATCCTGCCCATCATAATGGAGAACATCTCTTACACAATACTTAAAGCCACGTAAAAGTTAAAGCATAGCGATCCGTGCCCACCTTACACACTCGGTACCTCAGCTGCCTTAACTCTGTATCCACGAATGAATCGCGTGTTTTTACTTAAGATCCTGATGGCTTTAGATGTATGGATCAATCATTGATTGCTTCTCTGGCTAACAGATATCTCCGTGGTCGTCACTACTCTATTAATATTCACTTTAATCACGTGTCAGAGTAATGCTGGTGGTTTACATGTGGTTTAGGTACGCCGAACAGATGACAGCCCACGCCTCAGTTCTCCGAATCCAGATTCTACATTCATAACCATACGCATACTAGTCCCATCTTCCAAGCTCGGCTAAAGCAACAGAGCCGAGGCTACCTTGGAGTCTGACGAACAAAAACCAATATCATCGATGTAAAATACATGAAGGGCATAACTTGGTAGCTTTACTTTCTGTGTATACTAGCGAGGAACACCAACACTGGCATCAGACTGCATTATCGATTAGTCTCGTTTGACAGTTCATCTTGAGCAGCCATATGCAATGTTTACGGAAATGACGTACGAGTACTTACTAAATTTGAATGCGCATGTCTAGCTTCCTTACCAACGTCTTATAGCATGTGGATAAGGTAGATGATAAGTATTAATCCTTTTTAGCCACCGGCAGTTTGAAGAAAGGTAGGGATACAACTGACATTTTACTAACTTCATTACAATATTCTCCCACGATAGGTGTACTTGTGATTGTTTTCTTTAAGATTAAGAAGAGGTGAGACATCCAACTGTCACATATTAATACATGTGTCATTAGGCTATATATATGTACGGTACATATGTCCCATACATACATAGTTAGTCATCACTCATTAGACATCAAATTGTGCCACATGCAGGTCATAACCGTTCAAATACGTGGTGTTGTGATATATACTAATGTATGACACTGAACATTTATACCAGAGGTATGCGGAGTTAAGATATGGTAACATTATAAAAAGACTTGCAAAGATTTATACTCTCCTCCAGAGACACTGGTTTACTGTTATGTTCAGTTTATACAAGTTTCACTGTCCATTTTAGACAGGTTTTCAGCAAAGTCACTGGTATAGGCACGTTTGATTTTATGTCCAATTTAGACAGGTTTACTGTGTTGTGTCCTGTTTAGACAAATTTACTTCTATTTCCGGATTTTACAGGTTTACTGTTATGCACGATTGAGAAAAGTATTACTGTTGTGTAATGTTTAGACAGGTTTTACTTTGGTGTTCAGTTTATACACGTTTCTTGTAGAGTTTAAACAGGTTTTGTTGTTTTTTTTCAGTATACACTGCTTTATTGTTATATCCAGTTTACAGAGGTTTCAGTGTTAAGTTATGACAAGACAGGTTTTACAGTTATATCCAGTTTACAGAGATTTCAGTGTTATGTTATGACAAGACAGGTTTTACTGTTATATCCAGTTTACAGAGGTTTCAGTGTTATGTTTAGACAGGTTTTACAGTTATATCCAGTTTACAGAGATTTCAGTGTTATGTTTACAGGTTATTATATCCAGTTTACAGAGATTTCAGTGTTATGTTATGACAAGACAGGTTTTACTGTTATATCCAGTTTACAGAGGTTTCAGTGTTATGTTTAGACAGGTTTTACTGTTATATCCAGTTTACAGAGGTTTCAGTGTTATGTTATGACAAGACAGGTTTTACTGTTATATCCAGGTTTTGTTATGTTTAGACTTTTACAGTTATATCCAGTTTACAGAGGTTTCAGTGTTATGTAAGGTTTAGACAGGTTTTACTGTTATATCCAGTTTACAGAGGTTTCAGTGTTATGTTTAGACAGGTTTTACAGTTATATCCAGTTTAGAGAGGTTTCAGTGTTATGTTATGACAAGACAGGTTTTACTGTTATATCCAGTTTACAGAGGTTTCAGTGTTATGTTTAGACAGGTTTTACTGTTATATCCAGTTTACAGAGGTTTCAGTGTTATGTTATGACAAGACAGGTTTTACTGTTATATCCAGTTTACAGAGGTTTCAGTGTTATGTTTAGACAGGTTTTACTGTTATATCCAGTTTACAGAGGTTTCAGTGTTATGTTTAGACAGGTTTTACTGTTATATCCAGTTTACAGAGGTTTCAGTGTTATGTTTAGACAGGTTTTACAGTTATATCCAGTTTACAGAGGTTTCAGTGTTATGTTATGTTTAGACAGGTTTTACTGTTATATCCAGTTTACAGAGGTTTCAGTGTTATGTTTAGACAGGTTTTACAGTTATATCCAGTTAAGAGAGGTTTCAGTGTTATGTTATGACAAGACAGGTTTTACTGTTATATCCAGTTTACAGAGGTTTCAGTGTTATGTTTAGACAGGTTTTACTGTTATATCCAGTTTACAGAGGTTTCAGTGTTATGTTATGACAAGACAGGTTTTACTGTTATATCCAGTTTACAGAGGTTTCAGTGTTATGTTATGTTTAGACAGGTTTTACTGTTATATCCAGTTTACAGAGGTTTCAGTGTTATGTTTAGACAGGTTTTACAGTTATATCCAGTTTACAGAGGTTTCAGTGTTATGTTTAGACAGGTTTTACAGTTATATCCAGTTTACAGAGGTTTCAGTGTTATGTTTAGACAGGTTTTACTGTTATATCCAGTTTACAGAGGTTTCAGTGTTATGTTTAGACAGGTTTTACAGTTATATCCAGTTTACAGAGGTTTCAGTGTTATGTTATGACAAGACAGGTTTTACTGTTATATCCAGTTTACAGAGGTTTCAGTGTTATGTTTAGACAGGTTTTACTGTTATATCCAGTTTACAGAGGTTTCAGTGTTATGTAATGATAAGACAGGCTTTACTGTATATTCATTTATGAAGTTTTCTTCACATTTATGCAGGTTCATTTTCCTATCCAGTTATGCATGTCCAGTTTCATCAGGTTTTGGTTCAGACAGAATATAATAAAGCAAAACTATTACAAGTTGTGAACAGTTTGATTATTTTACAAAATTACAATCTAGAGGTCCTTTAGATCCCTCCAAACTTTTGTCAACAAAAGAGACTAGTAACCTTACTATTATCAACTTTGATTAGAGTTGTTTACATATGAGATTTGAATATCCTAACACAAGTATCAGTAAGTCCTGTGGTATATAATGACTTTGTGAAAACTCAATATCTTATATTAACATAAAATCATAGTCTTACTGGGTTTTGTTTCAATTGCACAATCTGTTGATCTGTTTGCTCACTATTTGTGTATGTGTACAGATCGTCCTTTTCTTATCAAAATACAGGAACGGTGTATTATGTGTTACCACAGATTGTGGTTTTGACATGATGTGTGGCTATGACTATCTTAATTAATCCTCTACTTATGCAATATCACTGAGTAAGTTGAAGACCTCGTTGCTAGGATTTCCAGATCAGGGTCAGCATTGTCAATTCAGCTTAGCATTAAGTCAGATTCCTTTCATGTAGCAATTAAGGGTTATCTACAAACAGGTATTATGAAAATAATATTTGATATATTTTTTTCAGAATATTTGGAATTTGGTTTTTTTGCTATTAAAAACTGTATGATATTACATAAATTCTAATGTGAAAGTTAATTAATTAGAACTGAGCCAAACAGCTGTGGACAAGACCACATCAAATTAGGAAGACTGTTCTTTAACGAGGTAGTTTTAACCTGTCTGTACATGCTCTTTCTGTTTTTAATTAATCTGGGTTTTTAACAATAGACACCTGTATTTATTATTCAGGGGTAAATGTTGACATTTATTTTACATATTGTCTTGATCTTGGCATTGATAGTGAATAAATGATACTGTTTTGGTTACATTTGTAGTCAAACATGTCATATAAAGATTTTGTTTACCCATATACAGTGTGGAACCATGAAATGTGATATCAAACAGTGGACCAGACCTGGTGATACATGTCCAGTCAATAATGATATGTATCAATGGTGGTTTTAAATATTTCATTTACCAAGAGATAAATAAATTGAAATTTGAACCTTTCAATTTATTATTGTCCTCAAAACAGCACATATAAGGTCATTGTACAGTTTATTTAAAGACTGTATGTGTCCCTTGAAAATGATATTTTGATGTTGCTACAGTAAGTATTGTGTTTCAATAAGTTGAAAATAAGAACTGATACCTTGACTTGGATTAAAATGTGTACATTTATACTCAGTGCTTTGTGTATATGTGTAGCTCAATTTACATATGCGTATCAATGTTCTTAGTACACATCTAACAGCCTTGACTACACATACTTCCTCTTAATATAGATTATTTTTTCCAAAGAAAAAGAGAAAATGCCTGCAGCTGATTGTCAATTGATTACTGTTTTTTCTCATTACTTATTTACTTGTCAATTAATAAACCATTCAAACTCACCTCATATTGATCAAACTTCTAGCATGTTACTTTATACAAATTCCACACGGTAAATAGATATTGATTTTATTACTGTGAGTCAATGCGAATAAATTGGGTGATCTGATACAGCCAAATACAGAATACATGTACAGTATAGTAGTATTGATAAAACTGAATTTCAAAAATGAACTTATCAAATTTAAATGTCATACAATATCCATGTTTGTTTGATCTATTGTATTCTAAGTGATTCATGATTTGACACAAAGTCTATGAAAATGTTAAAAACACATTTGTTTGTTAAAAACCATTTGTTTGTTAAAAACCATAGCACAAAATTCATACAATATAAACATTTTGAATTAAGTTACTCAGTGGAGTTATGGGATGTAATGTAATTTAACACTGTAATAGCAGTTTTATATTGTGTTACCTCAATACATATATATATATATAGAATGTGCAGACTAAGTAATCAGGCAGACAACCATTTCATATCCACAACCATCACATTATGTCAATGCAATATTGAATGTAAAGTTGACAATGCAACATTTTTCTTCTAATCAGAATTCTAGTTTTATTGAATGCAACATAAAATTCCAATTAACTTTTCTCCTAATGAAATGAAGACAGGTTAATTTGATTGCTGGACTAAATTATTGATTGTTGTAACGGCTCTAAGTCCTTGACTTTATTTTCCTTACTGCTCAATTACCCTGCATACTCCCGGGTATCCAACTGAAGAGTAAAAGAAACCTACTGATACAAACAGTGTTGGCTCTACCAAAGTCCTATATTAATACTGAGGGCTGGACTGATCATAATTTACTGTCAGATGTAAACAGCTAAAGACCCGACTTAATCACTTCTAACAGCACAGCATAGCACATTACATCACAATACAGCACAACAGGATACAATTCAATACAGCTTAATGCAACACAACGCCACACAGAACAGCACTTTACAACACATCAAATACAGCACAACACAGAACAACAAAACAGCACAACAAAACACACAACACAGCACAAATCGCACAACATAGATCAGCATAGCAAAACACAGCACAACGCAAAACATTACAAAAAAACACAGTTCAACACAGCACAAAAAACACAACACAGAACAACAAAACAGCACAGCAAAACACACAACACAACACAGCACAAATCGCACAACATAGATCAGCATAACAAAACACAACACAATACAAAACATCACAAAAAAAACACAACACAGAACAACAAAACAGCACATCAAAACACACAACACAACACAGCACAAAAAACACAACACAGAACAACAAAACAGCACAGCAAAACACACAACACAACACAGCACAAATCGCACAACATAGACCAGCATAACAAAACACAACACAATACAAAACATCACAAAAAAAACACAACACAGAACAACAAAACAGCACATCAAAACACAACACAGAAAAGCACAGCACAGTACAACATAGAACAGCACAACACAATACAACAAGACACAGCACAACACAGAACAGCATATGTAAACACACAACACAACACAGCAAGGTAACACAACACAGCAACACAACACACACAAAACACACAACACAACATAGCACAACACAGCACATAACAGTTTATTTGCACACTACAACACCACACAACATAACTCAACATATCACAACACAGAACAGAAGAGTACAACAAAAAAACAGAGCAACACAACAAAACACTATACAAAACAACTCAAAACAGCAAAGGAAAACACAGAGCACAACACATAGTAGCACAGATACAGTACCAGCACAACTGAGATAATACAGTATAATACAACACAACAGTGCTCAGTACTACTCAACACAACACAGTAAGAATATCACAAGTCAGTCAACAAAGCGCAACACACACAGAACAACATGGTACAACTCAGTCAACACAGCACAACACACAGAACAGCATGGTACAACTCAGTCAACACAGCACAACACACACAGAACAGCATGGTACAACTCAGTCAACACAGCACAGCACACACAGAACAGCATGGTACAACCTAACACAGCACAACACACACAGAACAGCATGGTACAACTCAGTCAACACAACACAACACACAGAACAGCATGGTACAACTCAACACAGCACAACACACAGAACAGCATGGTACAACTCAGTCAACACAGCACAACACACAGAACAGCATGGTACAACTTAACACAGCACAGCACACACAGAACAGCATGGTACAACTCAGTAAACACAGCACAACACACACAGAACAGCAAGGTACAACTCAGTCAACACAGCACAACACACAGAGAACAGCATGTTAAAACTTAACACAGCACAGGACACACAGAACAGCATGGTACAACTCAGTCAACACAGCACAACACACAGAACAGCATGGTACAACTCAACACAGCAAAACACATACAGAACAGCATGGTACAACTCAGTCAACACAGCACAGCACACACAGCACAGCATGGTACAACTTAACACAGCACAGCACACACAGAACAGCATGGTACAACTCAGTAAACACAGCACAACACACACAGAACAGCATGGTACAACTCAGTCAACACAGCACAACAGAACACAACAGCATGGTACAACTCAACACAGCACAACACACAGAACAGCATGGTACAACTCAGTCAACACAGCACAACACACAGAACAGCATGGTACAACTCAGTCAACACAGCACAACACACAGAACAGCATGGTACAACTCAGTCAACACAACACAACACACAGAACAGCATGGTACAACTCAACACAGCACAACACACAGAACAGCATGGTACACAACAACACACACAGAACAGCATGGTACAACTCAGTCAACACAACACAACACACAGAACAGCATGGTACAACTCAACACAGCACAACACACAGAACAGCATGGTACAACTCAGTCAACACAACACAACACACAGAACAGCATGGTACAACTCAGTCAACACAGCACAACACACAGCACAGCATGGTACAACTCAGTCAACACAACACACAGAACAGCATGGTACAACTCAGTCAACACAGCACAACACACAGCACAGCATGGTACAACTCAGTCAACACAGCACAACACACAGCACAGCATGGTACAACTCAGTCAACACAACACAACACACAGAACAGCATGGTACAACTCAACACAGCACAACACACACAGAACAGCATGGTACAACTCAGTCAACACAACACAACACACAGCACAGCATGGTACAACTCAGTCAACACAGCACAACACACAGCACAGCATGGTACAACTCAGTCAACACAGCACAACACACAGCACAGCATGGTACAACTCAGTCAACACAGCCAAGTTCAGTCGATTTTAATTTGATCAAAGGTTTCAGGGTACTTCTGACCAAAACATAAATTTAGTTTAAAACTGGTGTTATTCATACATGCTGATATACCTCTCCATCTACATGTACCTCTGAGCTTCATGACCCTCGACTTCAAGAAAAAAATACATCTGGCTCTTTTTTTTTGTTCCTGACCTCTCTTAACCTCTTTCAACCACCCAGCTTCTTACTAAGTCTCATGTATGATTTCCTAGGCACCATTTCTTATACATTTTACAGTAATGTAAATGACTGTTAATTACGTGAATTAAAAATAGTAAATGGAGTCTTGTATTTGTACACATGTGGGAGTGCCAGTTTGCCATTATCATAGAGATCATTGTGCTAGAATGTGTTTTATAATGTGTGGACACTAAGCTCACTGCATCTTTTACTTGAATTTCTTCCTTTCCTGTTTCAGGTTTGGCCATTGAAGATTTCTTAGTATGGATTTGTGTAGTGTAAAAAAGAGACATTTCCAATGAGGGTTACATTCATCGTATGGCAAGTAATAAACCAAAGAAGTTAGGCATGAAGAAGGATGGAGGAGAAAGACGTCCCAGCTCATCACGGGGCCAGTCTTTTCCTCGATCTGCCAGCAGCTCTACAGCCAAGTCCAAACAGGCCATTGAGACTCTTACCAAAGACAATGAGGAGTTACAGGGACAGTTGGCAGCACTCACCACCAAAAACAAACAACTACAAGATAACTGGCTAACGCTCACCACAAAATTAGTGGAGGATGCCAAGTCAAAAGGTTTCCAACTGGGAGAGGAAGAGCAAAAAAAGGACACAGGGGAGGTATCGATGGATGCTTTACTAGATCTCATCAATAGTTTGGCTCACAAACAGGACACCAAGAAACAGAAACCTGCCAAAGGCAGTGTGGAGTCAAGGATAGAGGAGTTAGAAACCAGAACAACTCAAATGAATATGAACCTTGTTAAGTTACTACAGACTAAAATGAACCTAGAGGCTGGTTTAGAGGACATTCAGCAGTGCCTTTCTTTAGAGGATGCTAAACACAAGGCAAGGTTTCTTCTATATGAAACAAGTAAGTCTACAGCAAGTGGTCAGTCATCGGTATTCAGCTATCTTAATGAGGCAGATTATATATATTCTACCATATTTTCAAAGGCATCAATTAATCAGTCCAACTCTTGTATTAACACACATGTTAAACCACATGTGGTATAACAATTTAGAATGTTTGTTTGGCTGACAATATGACCTTTGACCAAACTTTTGTAACTTTTGAAAAATAACTCACTTGAGTGAAAGAACTACTGTGTACCATAGTCACTTGTCAGGAAACCTCTATTTATCTAATTTTATTCTTTTTTTGTTCATCTTCCATGGTGAAAGTTATTAGGACCAAAAGAATTGGCCCTGCCTATATATATATTGACATTGCAGGTGGAATTTTCAGCCAGAGTACCCTTATATAGGATTTACTTATTTGGTTTTATTATTCATGAATGATTGAACTTGTAGTTTAGCAACATATTGAGAGAGTCCTTCGATCAATTATAAAAATGTTTCATATATCTATGTCCATTCTATAACTTCTAAAACCTCATCAATATAAGCTAATTAGAAAGAGGTCAGTTAGATTTTCACATTAAATGGGTATTTGTTTTCTAGAAGTCAGTGAAGCATTAAAGTTTAATGGGTGCTCTTTGATTCACAAAAGACAGAGAGGTTTTAAATTTTAATAAGTACATTTAGTTTTGCAAACAACAGGTAGGCTTTCACATTTAATAGGTACCATTTGCATTGTAGAGTGTATCAATGCTTACGTTTAGTGGCTACAGTTTGCGTTGTGGAGGGTATAAATGCTTACGTTTAGTGGCTACAGTTTGCGTTGTGGAGGGTATAAATGCTTACGTTTAGTGGCTAGAGTTTGTGTTGTAGAGGGTATAAATGCTTACGTTTAGTGGCTAGAGTTTGCGTTGTGGAGGGTATAAATGCTTACGTTTAGTGGCTAGAGTTTGCGTTGTAGAGGGTATAAATGCTTATGTTTAGTGGCTACAGTTTGCGTTGTAGAGGGTATAAATGCTTACGTTTAGTGGCTAAAGTTTGTGTTGTAGAGTGTATAAATGCTTACATTTAGTGGCTACAGTTTGCGTTGTAGAGGGTATAAATGCTTACATTTAGTGGCTAAAGTTTGTGTTGTAGAGTGTATAAATGCTTACATTTAGTGGCTAGAGTTTGCGTTGTAGAGGGTATAAATGCTTACGTTTAGTGGCTATAGTTTGCGTTGTAGAGGGTATAAATGCTTACGTTTAGTGGCTATAGTTTGCGTTGTAGAGGGTATAAATGCTTACGTTTAGTGGCTAAAGTTTGCGTTGTAGAGGGTATAAATGCTTATGTTTAGTGGCTAAAGTTTGCGTTGTAGAGGGTATAAATGCTTACGTTTAGTGGCTAAAGTTTGTGTTGTAGAGTGTATAAATGCTTACATTTAGTGGCTACAGTTTGCGTTGTAGAGGGTATAAATGCTTACATTTAGTGGCTAAAGTTTGTGTTGTAGAGTGGCTAGAGAGTTTGCGTTGTGGAGGGTATAAATGCTTACGTTTAGTGGCTACAGTTTGCGTTGTGGAGGGTATAAATGCTTACGTTTAGTGGCTACAGTTTGCGTTGTGGAGGGTATAAATGCTTACGTTTAGTGGCTACAGTTTGCGTTGTGGAGGGTATAAATGCTTACGTTTAGTGGCTACAGTTTGCGTTGTAGTTTACGTTTGTGTTGTAGAGTGTATAAATGCTTACATTTAGTGGCTACAGTTTGCGTTGTAGAGGGTATAAATGCTTACATTTAGTGGCTACAGTTTGTGTTGTAGAGGGTATAAATGCTTACATTTAGTGGCAACAGTTTGCGTTGTGGAATGCATTTAGGTTTTCATATTTAATGGGTATGGTTTGCATTGTGTGTTAAATAGGTTTATACATTTAATGGGTACTGTATGCCTTGTAGAAAGCACTAAGATTTTCATATTCAATGGGTACTGGTGGCTTTGAAGAGGGCACCTAGGTTTTCACATTTAATGGGTAGTGTTTGCTTTGAAGAGGACGCCTTGGTTTTCACATTTAATAAGTATTGCTTGCTTTGAAGAGAGTATAAATACTTATATTATACATTTAATGGGTACAGTTTGCTTCGTAGAAGACATTCAGGTTTTTATATTTAATCAGAACTGTTTGTTTTGTAGAAGGCTCCTCTGTGTTTTCTAGAGGACACTTGGTTTTCAGATTTAATGGGTACGGTTTGTTTTGTAGAGGGCAAGAAGTATTAACATTTAATGGGTATGGTTAATTTTGTAGAGGGCAATGAAGTATTCACATTTAATGGCTACTTTTTGTCTTGTAGAAGTCAGTGAAGTATTCATATTTAATGGGTATTGTTTGTCTTGTAGAGGGCAGTGAAGTATTCACATTTAATGAGTATTTTTTGTCTTGTAGAGGGCAGTGAAGTATTCACATATAATGGCTCAGATAATGATGAAACAGATGAGGAGGATGAGAAAGAGAAAGTAATTGTTAAAGAGACCAAAGCAACATCGCATCCTGGAAAATACCAGGTTTCTTCCATTGTCAAGAACCTCCAAACTTTCCAGCTCAGTCCAGTAAGTATCTCCGACCTAGGTAAATGCCCACACACTTCTGTATAGAGCATGTCTCTGTAATGAGACTATACAAGGTCAGATATGAAGGTTTCTAGAGTGATAAATGACTTGATAAAGACAGGTTATTCACATTATAAATTTGTATGTGTGGCTAAATCAAAGAGATATGGAGCGCTGGGAAAAGGAATGTTCTATACACAACAAACAAGTCTGATATTACCCATTGTAAAACTATTTCTCTACCACATACATAGATAATACATCACTGTGACACAGTGAACAGACACTTTTCATTCAGTTAGGTGTATCTGGAGAGTGTCCTTGATATGATTGATCACCTGCTTTTACAGTAAAAGTAGGCTAGGATTTACACACCTGAACTGGTCAACAAACCAGTTTCCCAGTATCTTACCTTTTGTAGTCTCTTTCCTTCTCACAGGGACGTACATTTTGTAAACAAACATTCTGTGTCGATAAAGCAAAGTGATCAGTTAGGAAATTTACTGGTATAGATTAATTGTTTATGATCTCTGTTATTGTCTGTGCTTGAAGGTCCATTAACAAACTAAATGCCATTAGGAGAACAGCATTTTATTGTTCGCTTACAATAACACTATCACTACAGATAGAACATATTGATACCTTAGTGGTATCTAGGTACATATCTGTAATGTCCTGTTCATATACTGTACCCAAGAGACATTAATCAAACAGATAGACACAGGACACACTGAGTTACAGTATATATATATATAGACACAGAAGACTTGTTACAGTATATATAGACACAGAAGACTTGTTACAGTATATATAGACACAGAAGACTTGTTATAGTATATATAAACACAGGGGACACTTGTTACAGTATATATAGACACAGAAGACTTGTTACAGTATATATAGATACAGAAGACTTGTTACAGTATATATAGACACAGGAGACACTTGTTACAGTATATATAGACACAGGAGACTTGTCACAGTATATATAGACACAGGAGACACTTGTTACAGTATATATAGACACAGGAGACACTTGTTACAGTATATATAGACACAGAAGACTTGTTACAGTATATATAGACACAGAAGACTTGTTACAGTATATATAGACACAGAAGACTTGTCACAGTATATATAGACACAGGAGACACTTGTTACAGTATATATAGACACAGGAGACACTTGTTACAGTATATATAGACACAGGAGACACTTGTTACAGTATATATAGACACAGGAGACACTTGTTACAGTATATATAGACACAGAAGACTTGTTACAGTATATATAGACACAGAAGACTTGTTACTGTATATATAGACACAGAAGACTTGTTACAGTATATATAGACACAGAAGACTTGTTACAGTATATATAGACACAGGAGACACTTGTTACAGTATATATAGACACAGGAGACTTGTCACAGTATATATAGACACAGGAGACACTTGTTACAGTATATATAGACACAGGAGACACTTGTTACAGTATATATAGACACAGGAGACTTGTTACAGTATATATAGACACAGAAGACTTGTTACAGTATATATAGACACAGAAGACTTGTCACAGTATATATAGACACAGGAGACACTTGTTACAGTATATATAGACACAGGAGACTTGTCACAGTATATATAGACACAGGAGACACTTGTTACAGTATATATAGACACAGGAGACACTTGTTACAGTATATATAGACACAGAAGACTTGTTACAGTATATACAGACACAGGAGACACTTGTTACAGTATATATAGACACAGAAGACTTGTTACAGTATATATAGACACAGGAGACACTTGTTACAGTATATATAGACACAGAAGACTTGTTACAGTATATATAGACACAGAAGACTTGTTACAGTATATATAGACACAGAAGACTTGTTACAGTATATATAGACACAGAAGACTTGTTACAGTATATATAGACACAGGAGACTTGTCACAGTATATATAGACACAGAAGACACTTGTTACAGTATATATAGACACAGGAGACACTTGTTACAGTATATATAGACACAGAAGACTTGTTACAGTATATATAGATACAGAAGACTTGTTACAGTATATATAGACACAGGGGACACTTGTTACAGTATATATAGACACAGGAGACACTTGTTACAGTATATATAGACACAGGAGACACTTGTTACAGTATATATAGACACAGGAGACTTGTCACAGTATATATAGACACAGGAGACACTTGTTACAGTATATATAGACACAGGAGACACTTGTTACAGTATATATAGACACAGGAGATTTGTTACAGTATATATAGACACAGGAGACACTTGTTACAGTATATATAGTCACAGAAGACTTGTTACAGTATATATAGACACAGGAGACACTTGTTATAGTATATATAGACACAGGAGACTTGTTACAGTATATATAGACACAGGAGACACTTGTTATAGTATATATAGATACAGAAGACTTGTTTCAGTATATAAATAGACACAGAAGACTTGTTACAGTATATATAGACACAGAAGACTTGTTACAGTATATATAGACACAGGAGACACTTGTTACAGTATATATAGACACAGGAGACACTTGTTACAGTATATATAGATACAGAAGACTTGTTACAGTATAAATAGACACAGGAGACACTTGTTACAGTATATATAGACACAGAAGACTTGTTACAGTATGCATTGTACATCATTAAGTATTCTCTGTAAAGAAGTATTTGTTGTTTTCATGGCTATAGATGTACCATTAAAATAAAAAGAAAAGAATAAGATTTCAGATAAAAAAATTATATGTGCACTGGTGGTTATGTAATATCCATGTAAGTTTTTACCCTAAAAAGCACACCATGAGCTTAAACCACAAAAAAAATCAGCAGTCATATAGTATTGTACAATACACTCACTAGACACAAATGTCCACATGTAATACTGCAATGTAGTTACAATAAAAAGACACCTGAGACACTAGTAACAGTTTGTAAACACAAGACACAAATGCCCATAGCTAAGACACACAAGTCACTTTGTTACAATATATATATACAAGAAACAATGGTTACAATATACAGATTTCAGATATTACCTAAACTTTTAGTAATGATATCAACAATTTTTGTAAGTGAGCCATCCATTCAACATTTCAGCCTCTGAAGAAGCTGCCAGGGGACACACTGGTCAGTAAGATGGACGCTGGTCTGAGGCACTACCTGGTCAGTGAACTCAGTCTCTACAAGGCCAATGGTTTGTAACCTCCTTCCCTGCTATGTTATATATATATATATAAATATATATATATAAATTGAAATTATTTCCTACAAGTGCAAGATTTAAAGTGGAAGATACCAAAATTTGCTCAATATTCAATATTTTCAACTTAGTAAGTTCATCCATCTGGTATTGTTTGCCAGTCCTTTGCCAAGATAACTCCAGTTTAGTTGTTCAAACGTTCACATCATTTAATTCACATACTACATTTTATTTGTTTTACTGTAACATAACAAAGCTCTTAGGGAACAGTATAAACTTTACAGGTGCTGACTGGAGAATGATGGCAGAGAGGGTAGGGGTATCTTTGGAAACAATAGGAGAATGGCAGCGTTTTCGACTAGAGTATCCTATGAAACACGTATTGGAGACATGGGCACGCAGTCCAGCTGCTACCATGAGGATGCTGCACCGCCACCTGGTGTCACCACAGATGAAAGCCATAATGCTTGCCCGAAGAATCTCTGATTTTTATCTTGTAGATTGAATGTTTGTCAGCATAATGAAGCAAATTATGCTGTGTTGGTCAGTGTAATGAAGTGGTACTTCGTTAGTCATTGTAAGCAAGTGAACCAAGTGAAGTTCTGTTAGTTATAGCAGAACCAGGTGATGTTCTGTTAGTTATAGCAGAACCAGGTGATGTTCTGTTAGTTATAGCAGAACCAGGTGATGTTCTGTTAGTTATAGCAGAACCAAGTGAAGTTCTGTTAGTTATAGCAGAACCAGGTGATGTTCTGATAGTTATAGCAGAACCAGTGAAGTTATGTTATTATAGTTCTGTTAGTTATAGCAGAACCAGGTGATGTTCTGTTAGTTATAGCAGAACCAGGTGATGTTCTGTTAGTTATAGCAGAACTAGGTGATATTCTGTTGGTCAGCAGAATCAAGTGACATCCTATTGGTCACTGTTATCAGGTGATGCATTTTTGATCAGTGGAATCAGGTGATGCCCTTTTGGTCAGTGGAATCAGGTGATACTCACTTGGTCAGTATAATCACCATTGATGCCATAAACCAACATTGATATAACAACAGGTACCAGTGGCACTATATTTTATTGGTGACAGTTGCCATGGTTACTTATTGATTACCTATGTATCATTTGATTGAAATCAACAGTCACTGACTTTTGAAGAGTTATGCTGATTGAGTGGTGCGTTTCATAAACAATATATCAATACTTTACGTCCTGCACTTGTGAGTTCTGGATATCAAACTATCATGCTAGGCATTAAAAGAGTTATCTCCCTTCTTTAATGGAGTTAATGGTTTTCCATGGTGCTGGGTTGTTTCTGTATTTCCTGTGCCTTTCTATTTAAGATATAATAACCTATGTCAAATAAAAAAAACTGATAAGTTGAATATACTGCAGCTAACATTGGTACCATCTCCGTGAATCAACGGTACCAATATACTGCAGCTAACATTGGTACCATCTCCGTGAATCAATGGTACCATCACCAGTAACTTGTAGAGTATATACTGTGATGTTCCTCACTGCTGAAGCATACATATCCTGTCATGGTGATTTTCTGTTAACTTTCAGTGTTGGCCGAGTAGGGCCAATCACAGAAGCAATCGTAAGTTATCAAAGAGGGAATCTATGAAGTGTACAATGATTGATATGGACACATATTTATCTAGTTTAACAGTCAGAACATACACATTGTAGTAAAGTGTTATTGTACACTGCAGTTAGAACACACACACGTTGTAGTTAAGTGTTATTGTACACTGCAGTTAGAACACACACACGTTGTAGTTAAGTGTTATTGTACACTGCAGTTAGAACACACACACGTTGTAGTTAAGTGTTATTGTACAATGCAGTTAGAACGCACACACGTTGTAGTTAAGTGTTATTGTACACTGCAGTTAGAACATACACACATTGTAGTTAAGTGTTATTGTACACTGCAGTTAGAATGCACACACGTTGTAGTTAAGTGTTATTGTACAATGCAGTTAGAATGCACACACGTTGTAGTTAAGTGTTATTGTACAATGCAGTTAGAACGCACACACGTTGTAGTTAAGTGTTATTGTACAATGCAGTTAGAATGCACACACGTTGTAGTCAAGTGTTATTGTACAATGCAGTTAGAACACACACACGTTGTAGTTAAGTGTTATAGTACACTGCAGTTAGAACACACACACGTTGTAGTTAAGTGTTATTGTACACTGCTGTCCTATAAGGATGGACACATATGACTAGACTGTACTTATTAACCTTTGCTACCTAGGTTAGTACCCCAGAGATTTGTTTGTGCAATATCTACCTGATGAGTCTACAATGCAGCAGTATTTTACCTCTATAAGCCCATTGCAGGGTTTCATAAATGCAATATCTAATTGCCTCCAAAAGATATTATTCTTACTTTCACAAATCCTTTTATATTGAACTCAAAATATTGTTATAGTTTTATCAGAGTTATTAAAACCAATTCTTTATCAACTTCAGACAGATAGATGTCATTCAAATCATGTTTAAATAATTTCACTTGATTTGCAATTGTGTCAGTAGAGTCGATGATTTTGCCTGTTTTGACGGTTAGTGGTGTAGACTTTTGTAGTTTTCTATACTTTTCTGTAGCCTACTGATTTAAACAACAATGATGCCATATTCATTCCACATGTGGTTTTAGTATCTCCAACAATGTACTATGGGAGACAAAAATAACCTTACTGGTTGTGGTCTAGTTTAGCAGGTTCAATAATTTTTTAAGCTTTGGTTGAATCAATCAAGAGACAATTAAAGCTTCTACATTGAAGGCAGTATCAATTCCATGTGTCCAGATTGGTGCATTTTTCTCATTAGTCCTACACAAGACAGGGAAATCTCATACGTTACCCACAACTAGATCTCCTCCAATCTGTCAGGTATCTTTATATGATATTTGATGCATAGTGACGTAACAATTAGAAGGATGTCATCTTCCATTTCCTTACATAGTTTCATTGCTAAACATTGACTATACCCATTTGATATTTTTGCATATTACACAGGTGTGATATAGCTTATTGTGATGGCACTTTAGTTAATGAAATGACGTCACACTTAGATTTGTAAGGTGAAGTAACAATGGTGAGCAAAGATAAAGAGCATGGCTTAAATTTTGATTTAGAAATGTCTGTTTTATACTTGAATAATTGATCGTATGATTAAAAAGGATTTTAAATTAGTTTTCTTTTGATATGTGATTTCTGAAACTCATCAAAAAAATTTTATTAGCTTTACAAAGAAACCACTCATGTTCAGATTTGTTTTAAAATCACATTTCCTCGTAAGCGAAAGATTATTAAGTTGTCAAACACTCAGCAACTTGACAACTTAATAATCTTCCTCCTCAGGTTGAGACCCCCCTTTCTCACACTAAAGGGGATGAAAAATTCTATTAATCCATGTGATCGTGAGATCCATCCCTTCACACATGCAGCTAAAAAGATTCTCTTATCCTGGACAGGGATCTCCATGTGATCATCAATTCCCCCTATCTTAATCCCCAAAGGGATAAAAGATTCTGTCGTTCATGAGATGTTTGTGAACTTAGCAAGAATAGCTGGAAGCAAATAGCTAGCTGTACGACTGTGTTAACTCGTAAGTGTAGTTATTTCACAGCCATGAATTAATGAAAACTATCACTCCACATTAGCTTGGAAGATTTGAGGAAGTAAAACAACTGTTCCCTAAGGTCTTCCTAGCTTTCTTGAAATGATTATTTTCATTGTTCCCAAAATAGCTATGAAATCACTGGTTTATTACCTTATGTGAGTCAGTTTCTCCAAAATTTCTTCAAAGCTTGCTGCCACGACAATGAAGACTTACAGGAAAACCACACTTGCTGCCATTTTACAGATGATCAACATTTTTTTTTTTTGTGTTTAGATTTTTGAAATGCTGTTTTGGTGTTTGTAAGATTATAGAAACAGTTATGTAGACATGTTGAATTACTCTGTATATGTGTTGCTGTTGAGACCTCTTGCTGGTTAAACGTATTCAGTGAAACATGTGCTTCCATACTCATACTTTCCAATAGATGTGAAGGAAGGCTGGACCCCTTAATATTCTATATTATATTACAAAACTGTAAAAAGAAATATTTCTCCAGAGTATTTTGTACAGTATTAAGACTGTGACTGTGTTATGAGTATGACTTTAATCAAATATATTAAAGCAGATTATTTCAAATCTTCAGTCTTTGTTTTTAATTTCTACACAAAGTTGTTTTTGAATGCGGACTCAGTGTCTTATTCATATGTGTTTTATCTTATTCTCTTAATCAGTGAAGTCATATGAAGTAAAATAAATGGTCTGTTGGTATAACCCGTAAAACAACTGTATAATATATATCAATAAAACACAAATTATATCTGTATAACACATAACATGTCTGTATAACACATAACACGTCTGTATAACACATAACATATCTGTATAACACATAACATGTCTGTTTAACACATAACACGTCTGTATAACAAATAACATGTCTGTTTAACAGATAACATGTCTGTATAACACATAACATATCTGTATAACACATATCATGTCTGTATAACACATAACATGTCTGTATAATACATATCATGTCTGTATAACATATGACATGTTTGTATAACACATAACATATCTGTATAACACATAACATGTCTGTATAACACATATAACATGTCTGTATAACACATATAACATGTCTGTATAATACACATAACATGTCTGTATAATACACATAACATGTCTGTATAATACATATAACATGTCTGTATAACACATAACATGTCTGTATAATACACATAACATGTCTGTTTAACACATAACATGTCTGTATAATACATATAACATGTCTGTATAATACATATAACATGTCTGTTTAACACATAACATGTCTGTATAATACATATTATATGTCTGTATAATACATATAACATGTCTGTATAACACATAGCATGTTTGGATAATTCATATAACATGTCTGTTTAACACATAACATGTCTGTATAATATATACCATGTCTGTATAATACATATAACATGTCTGTATAATACATATAACATGTCTGTATAACACATAACATGTCTGTATAATACATATAACATGTCTGTATAACACATAACATGTCTGTATAACACATAACATGTCTGTATAATACATATAACATGTCTGTATAATACATATAACATGTCTGTATAACACATATCATGTCTGTATAACACATAACATGTCTGTATAATACACATAACATGTCTGTTTAACACATAACATGTCTGTATAATACATATAACATGTCTGTTTAACACATAACATGTCTGTTTAACACATAACATGTCTGTATAATACATATAACATGTCTGTATAATACATATAACATGTCTGTTTAACACATAACATGTTTGTATAATACGTACCATGTCTGTATAACATATGACATGTCTGTATAACACATAACAAATCTGTATAACACATATCATGTCTGTATAACACATAATATGTCTGTATAATACATATAACATGTCTGTTTAACACATAACATGTCTGTTTAACACATATCATGTCTGTATAATACATTTAACATGTCTGTATAATACATATAACATGTCTGTATAACACATACAATGTCTGTATATTACATAACATGTCAGTATAATACATAACATGTCTGTATTATACATAATATGTCTGTATAACATGACTAAATATGACAAACATATGTACATGTCTTGCAGACGTAACATCACATGTGGACATCCTCCACAAAGCATTTATTGTATTAATGTGCATCCCAAACTGTCTTGCCACATTATTTCCAGATATTCCAGCCTCTAGTATGCCAATAGAATGCAAATATTAATTTCCCCCGTACTTGGCATGTTCCTGACAAAATTCTCTTCAGGAAAACAATGATTTTTTTATATAAAGCATTAATTACTTCCTATGAACCTTTTACTATCCTCTTTGTATGGTTTGCCTAGGTTCAAAATTAGAAAAAGTATGCCCCAACCATCTCAGTGTATCGAGAGCAAAGATGAACATTTTTACCAAACACACAAGCTTTTAAATTTGAAAAATAATTTTTTCTAAATTTGTGAGAAAAATTCTAATTATTGTCCAGTGGAATTTTTATTATGTATACAGTTTCTTTTTTTCATTTATTTAGTATACATGTTATACATGTTATGTATTCAGTAAACCCAAGGCTCAGTCATAGTGTAGACTTAATGGAGAACAGTGAAATATCATTGGGAGGTAATTCTAACCAACAGCAATAGACAAAGGCAGCTTATTGGCATATAGTGAAATATCATTGGGAGGTACTTCTAACCAACAGCAATAGACAAAGGCAGCTTATTGGCGTATAGTGAAATATCATTGGGTGGTAATTCTAACTGCAATAGACAAAGGTAGTTTATTGGAGTACAGTAATATAACATTGGGAGATAGTTCTAACTAACAGCAATAGACAAAGGTAGTTTATTGGAGTACAGTAATATAACATTGGGAGATAGTTCTAACTAACAGCAATAGACAAAGGTAGTTTATTGGAGTACAGTAATATAACATTGGGAGATAGTTCTAACTAACAGCAATAGACAAAGGTAGTTTATTGGAGTACAGTAATATAACATTGCGTGATAGTTCTAGCCAGCACCAAAAGACAAAGCAACAACTGTGGTCTTATTAGCAGATATTTGTTTATCGACATATGGTAATATTTTTTAATACTTCTACTTTATGCGCCGTTTAATGATTTTTTTTTCTCTACACATTTCATCTATATTTCATATTGATGAAAGATAAACCACATGAATTATTTAACAAATGTTGTGTAAATGCTTTAGAGTGAGAATCCTTACATGCCAGTCTTATATATGCTACACAAGAACTACGGAACCTTACACTCAACCTGTATGAATGGTTGCGTAAGGGTCATTAGTAACACTACCAGGAAGATAAAAGACAAACTATGAATACTGTGTACTTATTTTTATTCTTGTATTATACAAGTTTTATTTCTGTTTGTATCCAGTAAATGGAATCCTACATAATTCACACACACACACACACACACACACACACACACACACACACACACACACACACACACCCTCACACCCTCTCACACAATTATTCACAACATTTAATCATGACCAGGGACTGATGTGGAGAGACACAATCATATAAACTGATTAAGTACCATACTAATCTTACTCCTCAGGATCTAGAGGATACTACTACGGTAAACATATTTATTTTGGACCAATCAAATCTTAGCACATTATTGGATTTTTTAAAATGATATTGCAATTAGCACTAAAATAAGATTAATGCTAAAATATATATGTTTACATCATTAGATGGAATGTTAACATGATTACATTAAATATGATCACCTTATATCATTGATCTGGAGGAAGAAAGCACTGCAATGAATTTGAAATCACGTTAAAATTCTGTTTAACATATAGCAGCAGTAAAATGGAAAATTACAATCCTTAATTTTGATACCAAGTTAATGAATTTAATCATCCTAGTAAGAACGTTTCTAATGATAATAATACATGAAATACAAAGCTAATGTAACAGTTTTCATTTTATGTTGAAAACATATCCTCACACTTCAGGCCTTGTTTCATAAATATTTTCAGCATACAAAAAAATGAAAAAATCCGCTTTAATGAACTCATTACAAGTTCAAAACAAAGATATGGCTTACTTTACTTTTTCCCTTTCCTCACAAATACATTGAAAATTTAGTTATGTTGATGTCACAAAGGTTTTTCAAAGCAGATACACCAGTGAAATAAAAACAGTCCTTGGCAGAAAACCCTCACAAGATAGAATAGTTCCATGATCACACCACATCTTCACTTACAATCATATCACTTCAGGGAAAATATAACTAATCTTGATGAAGCAAACATATTTAAAAAAAAAAAAAAAACATTCAAAAGCACAACAACAAACAATATACAATGTTTTATATAACTTATTAACTATCAAAGATGCTACAGCTTGACCGACACATTGTATTTATCACATCATTCCTGTCCTTCTCACCTTCCCAAGTAAAGTCTTATGAACCACGTCATACCTGTACTTCGTGTGTTGACTTTTAGACACAAAAAAACAAAACAAATAAAATAAATCAGGAAATGTCAAGAACCAAATGCAAAGAAAGAAAAATCCATAAAGAGATGTGATATGTATATATAGCCACTGTTCTACAACTGCTTAACCAATATGTACATCCGTTGATATAATGATGTCCACACTGTGATCATTACTGTTCCTGTTATGCTATCCATTTTATCAAACATATGTATATACAGCTCTGATCCTTCACTTTACAATAGTAAAATGATAACGTCAAATAACGAGGAAACCAAATGTACACGTCTGGCTACAATCATGGTTATGTGTAACTTGGAAAGTCACTGTGGTTATCAAATGTATCTTAGCTGGTCACCATGGTTACATGTATCTGGGAATGTTGCCATGGTTACAATGTACAGCTACCTGGTTAGGTCATCATGATTATTTAAACCTGGTTAGGTCATCATGATTATTTATACCTGGTTAGGTCATCATGATTATTTAAACCTGGTTAGGTCATCATGATTATTTAAACCTGGTTAGGTCATCATGATTATTTAAACCTGGTTAGGTCATCATTATTATTTATACCTGGTTAGGTCATCATGATTATTTATACCTGGATAGGTCACCACGGTAACACATACATGGAGAGATTGCCATTGTTACATCTACCTGTATAGGTCATCATGTTTACATGTAACTGAATAGATCACCATGGATACAAATACAAGATAAGTGGCCATGGTTACATATACATTGATAGGTTGCCATGGTTACACATTCCAGAATAGATCACCATGGTTACATATACCTTGATAGATCACCATAATTATCTATTGTATAAACATAAGGAAGTTGCCTTGGTTTCATGTACTTAGTCAGTCGCCATAATTATCCCTTGTGTATGTCTTGGCAAGTCACCATGGTTTCATGTACCTGATTAGGTCACAACACTTACAGGTGACTGGACAGGTTGCCTTGCTTACATGTATGTGAACAGTCTTCCTCATTCGATCAGAGTTCCTAACGTACACATATACACTCAACCAATTCTATATTTTGATTAAATGAAGCATCTGGTACACTCCACCATGAGCTATAATCATTCATTCTATCCTAATATGACCATATCATTGATTTATTCCTAATCCTGTTCCAGATGGTCAGACAATATTACCTTTTATACACTTCACTCACCACACAATCAAATATCCACATACACATGTTCTTATAAAAAATAACTTTCCCAACTTTTATTTGTTACAATCAAACAACCTGAATAATTTTAGCTACTCTCATGATCAGACAAACACCACCAAATGATCATTTTTACACTCATTCACACAATAAATAGCATCATAAATCTATACAGATTTGTATATAAACACGATCAGTTTCTATGACATAAAAATACACTTTCAAACTATTCTCCATACTCATCACATCCATCGTCACAGTTCAATCATGTATTAGATCAATAAGGAAAAATTAGAAAGTGAAAGTGAAACAAGTGTCCAAATCACATAGATATTAGAAAAACAAAGAAACATAAAGTTAAAAGAAAACGCCTATAAAAACATGTAGACACACAATTACTCCAAAAGAACCTCAGTAAGTTTTGGAAATCCCTACCAATCTGGTGGAACCTCACAAGAAATTGATGACAAGGAAATGAAATAATATTCAGTTCTGGTGTTGTGTTAAGAATTATAAACATTATATAGTCCCTGTGTCACATTAATGAGTTAAGTTTATCCAGTTGTTGTGTCAGGTTCCTATAAATTCAATATTACCTGGCCTTAATATTTAGCCAGTAGGGTCTACTATATGACTATGCCTGAAAGTAAGGGACTTCTAACCCTGTATCATAGTAGCTTATCAATTATTGTCCTATACTGTAACCCATTTCTTATAAGTTACTATCTATACTAACCAATAATACCAATATTCTAGTAATCCCCATCTAAAATAGACCCATTCTTTCTTAGGTAAATGATAACTTTCAAAATTACATATTGTGGTTTTCTAAGACTTCCACTAAGATCCCAGTTCTTATATTGTAACATACTGAGACCGGGAGTTCACCATTATACAAGTGTGTACACTGGGCACTGTAGATTTTGTTCATGTATTATGGAAGATTTCCTGATGTCATATGCTACAGCCCTCAGTAATGTTAACCTGTTCTGATAAAGATGTCCACAGACCACAGACAATGGCATGGATTGGTGTGCATTACCAACAGGTCAAACTCTAACCTGAACCACTAAATGAGAAGACTATTTTTCAACTAAGTCTTTCTCCATCATCCATGTCCCTCTGCATCCAAGTCTTTCTTATGAAAAAATAATGTTTTTTCACAATTATCTATAAATGCCATTTGTATGAACACATCTTGATCCTATTATCTATTAAGCATTTGTCCATGTTGTTTCATAGCACCAATAAATTTGCCATGTATATATTTCCTACACAGAGATGTTCCAAGGATTACCGGATCCTTCGGAGAAGTACAATGAAGCCGAGGAGAAGAGCTAGGAATGTCATCACGTAGATATCCCAGTCCGGCCCAAGGTAGTTACGAGGATCCAGTTTCACTAACAACTGATTATAGTCTTCTATCTACAACACAGAGGACATAATTTACCAGAAAGGTCATTTTATGTAGCAACACATGTTAAATGTCATTAGGGCATATCCTGCGATTGTTTATCACCACATGGAGTATATCATGTGATCGTTAAATACCACATAGGACATATCATGTGATTGTTCAGTACCACATAGGATATATCATGTGATCGTTAAATACCACATGCGGTGTATCATGTGATTGTTCAATACCAATGTGATATATCTTATGAATGTTAAATAACATGTGAATTCGACATGGGGTGTACATTGTAAGTCTCAATGTCTATACTTACCTCCTTGTTGAAGACGTCAACTCCATAAAAGACACCAAGTTTGGCAAGAGCCAGCATAACTGGCACCTGGGCATCCATACTTGTTTCTGCAGCCATATCATAGAAACGCTTTGCTAGGTGCACATCCTGGAATACAGAAATATTCATATAGTGTAAAACAGCCTATCTAAGTATAAATATTCATATAGTGTAAAACAGCCTATCTAAGTATAAATATTCATATAGTGTAAAACAGCCTATCTAAGTATAAATATTCATATAGTGTAAAACAGCCTATCTAAGTATAAATATTCATATAGTGTAAAACAGCCTATCTAAGTATAAATATTCATATAGTGTAAAACAGCCTATCTAAGTATAAATCTTGGAGAGAAAATCATTGACTCTCATATGAGGGTGAAATCTGTAGTGTCAAGCGTTGTATGATAAGAACTTACACTTTGATGTTTATCTTTTATTTTTTTTCCTTAGTGTGTTATATTATTGTGATGTCTTAAGAAAAGGCATCATGTAAATGTAGTAACTTCACCAGAGATCTTCATCCTAGTACTGCTGTGTTCTAGAACTGTATCCTAGTACCGCTGTGTCCTAGTACCGCTGTGTCCTAGTACCGTTGTGTTCTAGAACTGTATTGCTGTGTCCTAGTACCACTGTGTCCTAGTACCGCTGTGTCCTAGTACCGTTGTGTTCTAGAACTGTATTGCTGTGTTCTAGAACTGTAATCTAGTACAGTTGTGTTCTAGTATTGCTGTGTGTGACATTCTAGTACAGTTGTGTTCTAGTATTGTTGTGTTTGACATTCTAGTACAGTTGTGTTCTAGTACTGCTGTATGTGGCTTTCTATGATTGCTGTTTGTGACATTCCTGTACTGCTGTGTGTGACATTCCTGTACTGCTGTACATGTCATTCTAGTACTGCTGTGTGTGACTTTCCTGTACTGCTGTGTTTGACATTCTAGTACAGCTGTGTTCTGGTATTGCTGTGTATGACATTCTAGTACAGTTGTGTTCTAGTATTGTTGTGTTTGACATTCTAGTACAGTTGTGTTCTAGTACTGCTGCATGTGGCTTTCTATGATTGCTGTTTGTGACATTCCTGTACTGCTGTGTGACATTCCTGTACTGCTGTACATGTCATTCTAGTACAGCTGTGTTCTAGTATTGCTGTGTGTGACATTCTAGTACAGTTGTACACTTGTACTGCTGTGTATGACATTCTAGTAAAGTTGTGTTCTAGTATTGCTGTGTGTGACATTCTAGTACAGTTGTTTTCTAGTATTGCTGTGTGTGACATTCTAGTACAGTTGTGTTGTAGTATTGCTGTGTGTGACATTCTAGTACAGTTGTGTTCTAGTACTGCTGCATGTGGCTTTCTATGATTGCTGTTTGTGACATTCCTGTACTGCTGTGTGACATTCCTGTACTGCTGTACATGTCATTCTAGTACAGCTGTGTTCTAGTATTGCTGTGTGTGACATTCTAGTACAGTTGTACACTTGTACTGCTGTGTATGACATTCTAGTAAAGTTGTGTTTTAGTATTGCTGTGTGTGACATTCTAGTACAGTTGTGTTCTAGTATTGCTGTGTGTGACATTCTAGTACAGTTGTGTTGTAGTATTGCTGTGTGTGACATTCTAGTACAGTTGTGTTCTAGTACTGCTGCATGTGACTTTCTATGATTGCTGTTTGTGACATTCCTGTACTGCTGTGTGTGACATTCCTGTACTGCTGTGCATGTCATTCTAGTACTGCTGTGTGTGACTTTCCTGTACTGCTGTCTGTGACTTTCCTGTACTGCTGTGTTTGACATCCTAGTACAGCTGTGTTCTAGTATTGCTGTGCGTGACATTCTAGTACAGCTGTGTTCTTGTATTGTTGTGTGTGACATCTTAATACTAATGTGTTCTAGTATTGTTTTGTTTGACTTTTTAGTATAGTTTTGTTTGACATTTTCACACTGCTGTGACATTCTAGTATTGTTTTGTTTGACTTTTTAGTATTGGTGTGTTTGACATTCTTGCATTGCTGTTTGACATTCTAGTATAGTTTTGTTTGACATTTTCACACTGCTGTGACATTCTAGTATTGCTTAGTTTGACATCCTTGTACTGCTATGATCAAATTCTTCTGTACCTGACATTATCTTCACCAGTCTCATTTGATAGTTATGTATAAAAAAGATTTCTGCTTACTGGTAGCTATTTTCTATTTAACATAAACAAAGAAAAACCAACCTCAGAGAAGAGTCTCTCATCTTATATCAACTTGTTACTTCACCACCAAAGAATATATTAAAAAAAACCATATAATTACCCCAATTTATGCCAGGTCAGTTATCTACAAAACTGTCCAACAAAACTCTTACCAATACCATTTCTCAGCCCCTGATTTCAGCTAACGAATGAGAAGAATACCATGAAGCAGTGTACCTGTTTAAGCCCCAGGCCTTTCTCATGCATGTAACCCAGATTGAACATGGCCTGGGCATTGTGCTGCTGCTCTGATGCCACACGATAGTGGGATGCAGCTGTCTCATAGTCTATCTTAGTCCCCTGTCCATAGTAGTGGTAATCACCCATCTTAACTCTCGCTGATGTTGATCCCTGTGCTGCTGCACGTGCCCATTGCAGTAATGCTCGCTCATAGATCTCTGTTTCCTGGAAATCCCCTATCTCACCTACAAACATCAGATTATTTAGTGACAGCAAGGAATTTAGAAAATATTCAATATCATCTACAAACACCAGACTATTTATAGTGACAGCAAGGAATATTGAAAATATTCAATATCATCTACAAACATCAGACTATTTATAGTGACAGCAAGGAATATTGAAAATATTCAATATCATCTACAAACATCAGATTATTTAGTGACAGCAAGGCATATAGAAAATATTCAATATCATCTACAAACACCAGACTATTTATAGTGACAGCAAGGAATATAGAAAATATTCAATATCATCTAAAACACCAGACTATTTATAGTGACAGCAAGGAATATAGAAAATATTCAATATCACCTACAAACACCAGACTATTTATAGTGACAGCAAGGAATATAGAAAATATTCAATATCACCTACAAACACCAGACTATTTATAGTGACAGCAAGGAAAATATTAAATATTCAATATCACCTACAAACACCAGACTATTTATAGTGACAGCAAGGAATATAGAAAATATTCAATATCATCTACAAACACCAGACTATTTATAGTGACATCAAGGAATATAGAAAATATTCAATATCATCTACAAACACCAGACTATTTATAGTGACAGCAAGGAATATAGAAAATATTCAATATCACCTACAAACACCAGACTATTTATAGTGACAGCAAGGAAAATATTAAATATTCAATATCACCTACAAACACCAGACTATTTATAGTGACAGCAAGGAATATAGAAAATATTCAATATCATCTACAAACACCAGACTATTTATAGTGACATCAAGGAATATTGAAAATATTCAATATCATCTACAAACACCAGACTATTTATAGTGACAGCAAGGAAAATATTAAATATTCAATATCACCTACAAACACCAGACTATTTATAGTGACAGCAAGGAAAATATTAAATATTCAATATCACCTACAAACACCAGACTATTTATAGTGACAGCAAGGAATATTGAAAATATTCAATATCACCTACAAACACTAGACTATCTAAAGTGACAGCAAAGAATATAGTAATTATTGAATATCACCTACAAATATCAGGTGTTTTATGATCACAACACTATGATAACTTGAAATAAAAGACAAAGGTGGGTTACCTTGGTCTAGTATGTAGGCAACATTAGACTGAGCAACCTCATAGCCAAGTTCAGCCAGGAAGGTGTATTTGACAAGTGACTGGAACAGATTACCCTCCTTGTACAGACTGTGGGCCTCAGATAGCATCTCTGCCCAACGACCCCTCTCAGCCACATTTTTAAACAGCTGCAGTAAGAGATCGTATTGAAAATTAGATATTTGATAGAATCTGATACCATATACACCCTATAAATCTAGACTTGCCCATTTTGAAATTTAGCTAAGTTTTGACTTTAACCCAAGTACAGATTATTGCTTAAATATTGAAAAGAAATGGCTATTTTAAAATACATTTAGTAAGTACTCCGCCACAAGTTTAAACATCATGTAAATGTTATGAATTATACAAATGATATTATACATCACAAGTAAGGAGAGAAAACTGAAAGCTACCTCCACTGCAGTATGACAGTTCCGCAGTACACCAGTGCCTGTGGCATGCATCTGAGCCAGATTGAAGAAAGCCAAAACGTGACCACCTTGTGAGGCAAGGTTGAAGTATTTCACAGCCAGCTTGTAGTCCCTCCTCACTCCTTTTCCACCTACAAACACACATAGTACCAAGTAGAAAGAGTATCCAAAATGGTAACAACACACACAGTACATTAAAAATTGTTCCACCAGATTAATGATACAAAGAATAAACCTACAGTGACTAGAACTTTTATCCCCAAAGATAACCATTGATAATACCATTATCTACCCCCAGCCCCCTCTCCCCAATTCAAATCAGACTAATGATCAGTTGAATGGATTACATGGGTTTTGGGTTTTAAAACATCTGACCACATCAAGACACAAACTTTTGACACCAAGAGTTGTTTTGTTTTCATAAATATTCATTATCATCACTTATATAAGCACTTTTTCCAATTTTTAAATTCTTTGGGCAGTTTTTAATCTTTTTACTAAAACCACCATATAAATTGAACGGACAGACATGGGTAACACTATTTGTACCTTCTACCCTTGCCTATCCACAAACCAGAATTCAGCAACATGCCTGCATGATTTTTTGCAAACTTATCAATAAATATTTGAAACAATAAGGAAGAGATAGATTACTTACTGAAGTACATGAGTCCTAGTTGTAGTTGGGATTCCATCCAGCCCTGCTCAGCAGCTTGTGTGAAGTACTGGAAAGCCTTAATGTAATCCTACAAAACAACAAAACCAATATAATACCAGTCAATTTAAAAAGCACATTATATACATCAGGGCACCTAAAAATACTAACTGAATTTGATCTGTCCCACTACACAGAGGACCCAGGAAAACCTACTGACTTTACATAAGATCTGTCCAACTACACAGAGGACCCAGGAAAACCTACTGACTTTACATAAGATCTGTCCCACTACACAGAGGACCAAGGAAAACCTACTGACTTTACATAAGATCTGTCCCACTACACAGAGGACCAAGGAAAACCTACTTACTTTACATATTATCTGTCATACCTCACAGAGGACCCAGGAAAAGCTAAACACTTTATATAAGATCTATCCTACATCACAGAGGACCCAGGAAAAGCTAAACACTTAATATAAGATCTGTCCTACATCACAGAGGACCCAGAAAAAGCTAAACACTTTATATAAGATCTGTCCTTCCACACAGAGAACTCAGGAAAAGCAAAAAACTTTGAATAAGGCATGTTCTAAATCACAGGGGATTAAGATATACCTACTGATTTTTAATTAGATCTGTCTCTCAGCACTTAGCAAAGCCTACGAATTTCACATTGCATCAGTAATATCTCAGAAGACCCCGGAAAGCATATTGATATTTAGGTTAATCCTCTTATATATAAATATCTAATTCATTAATAACCATTATTGGACACTATTCTATAACATATTACTTTCAAACTAATCAGTGACTTTACTATACATATACATCACACCTGGACTAGTCTGTATGAAGTGACTTACCTGTCCTACACATTTATCATACTTATACCTCACATCTAGACTAGTTGATGTGAAGTGACTTACCTGCTCTACACCTTTACCATACATATACATCACACCTAGACCTGTCTGTCCAACTGGGTTACCCTACAAATATAATTTAGTCAACCTTGAATCAGTATGTTACTTAAAATTTCATCTGTCAAAATGGGTTTCTCAAGAAAGAAATCTGTCATTTAATTGATAAGTAGTCTGTTTAAGTGGGAAAACAAGATTTTTAATTTGATTCATTAACAGTCTGGTTATCTCTGTACACATTGTATCACAATACTTTACCTTTTCTGCTGCCTGTCGAAAGAACTGTATGGCAGTTTGGTTGTTCTGTTTGATCGCAGGACTTCCCTCAGAGTACATCTGAATGCACAATGCAAACATTTAATGTAAACAAAGTTGATACATAAGAGGAAGTGCACATTTGCTTCATTTAAAACAAATGTCTTATCAACCCCATTTAGACCTATGCACAATAAAAAAAGAGAGCAAAATTTGGAAAGTTTGATCACAATCACTCAAGGAATAAAGCTGCAAGAGTGCTGACAAACATTCTCCACAGTGACTTGACCTTGACCCTTCAACCTTGAAACTTCACCTGATTCATGAAATTATGGTCCTATATATGAAAGTGAATTTTCATCAAAATTCCTCCAGAAATAAAGCTAATAAAATATCAGTGACCTTGCCCTTAACCCTTCAACCCTGATATCTGAACCCATCTCAGATATAATAGTCTTTTATAAATATGTTAAGTTTGAAAGAATTCCTCAGAAACTGAAATTGCCATTTGCTGGTAAGGATTATTGCTACATTACATATGAACTTATGCATAAGAACAATTCTACAATAATCCATTCCAGGTATTCCATTTGAGGGAATGATAAGATTGGTGGACTGATAATTGAGAGCTTTACTGGTCTTTGATCAGTACTCTTGTTATCCTAATTACCTTACAAGTTTGGCATCAGATCAGGATTCCCATAATCAATAAATTATGTCTGACAGACATTTTAAATCTGCTACTTTAAACAAACCAAAACGATAATTATCAACAGAACTGACCTTGCCAAGGAAGGCATAGGCATTGGCATTGGCTGACTCTCCCGCCATCAGGAAATAATGGAGAGCTCTCTGTAAGACAAAGTCTTTAAATAATCTCACATTTAGATACTGTCACATTTAAATACAATCTACAAAGTGGTAGACTAACTAAATTTCATTAGATATGACCAAATAGTCTACATTATGTAAGAAAAAAGGAAATAGCTTCAGTAAAAAATCTAAAATAGGAAGATCCAGTCAAACTACCAAATATTTTCTAACACCAATGATTCTCTACCAGTCAAACATGGAATGCTTTGTAAAGGAAATTTGGGAGGTATGCTATCAATATTTAACTGTGAAGTAAAAATCATACTGTGGCTAGTTTGATTTGACAGCCAAAACCCACCTCATGGTTGATTCCAACACCTCTGCCTCCTTGATAGTACAGCTGCCCCAAGACAACCTAAACACAAAACTGATAAAATGAACATCATTTGCCTGAAATCCCCTTCAAAAGGTTCCACCTGTGTTTATATCAAATATAAGTTTATCGTTCTATACTATATTAGGTGATCTGTTTGTATATTCCCATCTGTGAATAACCCCTGTCATTACATCCTCTCTAAAGGGTTGCTTCCCTGTACAAATTCCATGTATAAGGTTAAAACATCTCTATATATCTTCTGCATAAGATTACCTGTCTGTATATCCTCTGCATAAGGATAGCTGTCTGTATATCAACTGTATAAGGATACCTGTCTGTATATCAACTGTATAAGGATACCTGTCTGTATATCAACTGTATAAGGATACCTGTCTGTATATCAACTGTATAAGGATAGCTGTCTGTATATCCTCTACATAAGATTACCTGTCTGTATATCCTCTACATAAGATTACCTGTCTGTATATCCTCTGCATAAGGATAGCTGTCTATATATCATCTGTATAAGATTACCTGTCTGTATATCCTCTACATAAGATTACCTGTCTGTATATCCTCTGTTTAAGATTTTTTATGTGTATGTCTTCTGTATAAGTTTACCTGTCTGTATATCCTCTGCATAAGGATAGCTGTCTGTATATCATCTGTATAAGGATACCTGTCTGTATATCCTCTACATAAGATTACCTGTCTGTATATCCTCTGTTTAAGATTACCTGTCTGTATATCCTCTACATAAGATTACCTGTCTGTATATCCTCTACATAAGATTACCTGTCTGTATATCCTCTACATAAGATTACCTGTCTGTATATCCTCTGCATAAGGATACCTGTCTGTATATCAACTGTATAAGATTACCTGTCTGTATATCCTCTGCATAAGATTACCTGTCTGTATATCCTTTGTTTAAGATTTTTTATGTGTATGTCTTCTGTATATCCTCTATAAGATTACCTGTTTATATCCTGTCTGTATATCCTCTGTATAAGTTTACCTGTATATCTGTATATAGCCTGTATATCTGTATAAGTTGTCTGTATATCCTGTATAAGGATAGCTGTATATCAACTGTATAAGATTACCTGTCTGCATATCCTCTGCATAAGGATACCTGTCTGTATATCAACTGTATAAGATTACCTGTCTGTATATCCTCTGCATAAGATTACCTGTCTGTATATCCTTTGTTTAAGATTTTTTATGTGTATGTCTTCTGTATGAGTTTACCTGTCTGTATATCCTCTGTATAAGTTTACCTGTCTGTATATCCTCTACATAAGATTACCTGTCTGTATATCCTCTGCATAAGGATAGCTGTCTATATATCCTCTGTATAAGTTTACCTGTCTGTATATCCTCTACATAAGATTACCTGTCTGTATATCCTCTGCATAAGGATAGCTGTCTATATATCCTCTGTATAAGTTTACCTGTCTGTATATCCTCTACATAAGATTACCTGTCTATCCTCTGCATAAGGATACCTGTCTGTATATCCTCTGCATAAGGATAGCTGTCTATATATCCTCTGTATAAGTTTACCTGTCTGTATATCCTCTACATAAGATTACCTGTCTGTATATCCTCTACATAAGATTACCTGTCTGTATATCATCTGTATAAGGATAGCTGTCTGTATATCCTCTACATAAGATTACCTGTCTGTATATCCTCTGCATAAGGATACCTGTCTGTATATCAACTGTATAAGTTTACCTGTCTGTATATCCTCTACATAAGATTACCTGTCTGTATATCCTCTGTTTAAGATTTTTTATGTGTATGTCTTCTGTATAAGTTTACCTGTGCCTGCACATCTCCTTTGTCTGCCAGAAAATGGTAGTATTGAAGAAGGTCATCATCCATGAGAGCACTTTGGCCTGAATTAGTATTCTCCACCTCATCCTGGAGTCGCACCCTCTGTATGACTGGTCCCCCAGATACTGTCACTGCATCTGCCACTGTAATCAGGTTCAATTGTAAACATTCAGCAGGCCATTCAAATGTCACAAACATCCGACAATTCAAACATCAATAACATCCGACAAACGTACTCTCACAAAGCAGGTCAATACTTTGGTTGTATACAGTGAAGTAAAAGACCTCACCAGATCAGTCGGCAAGGAAACAACGTCTATTTGAAAGTTGGAAAATTTGTGACGAAGGAATCTTAAAGGACACAAGGTCCAATATTATCACTGTGGTTACAGGCCTATCAATGTAGTCCCCACTTGCTGGTTCTATAGGGGACCCAATAGTCCAGCTTTCCAGTGACAATTCCATGGCTTGATCAAATCAATATCCTACTTAAATTCACAATATTTATTTCAGAAAAATAATCAACAGGTAGAAAGTCACACTGTGATCTACACTGATGTGTCACCACTGTTATAAAAAGTAGTATTTCAAAGTTACTTCCTGTCTCTATGGCCTAGGTTTGGATAAATACATTTGTGGCCCTGGCATTAGTAAAATCTATTAATAGATGCTAAGGAAAATGGCTTTGAATTTTTTTACCAAAAAATAGTAGAACTTAGCCATCACAGGCAAAAAATGCTGTGTCCAAAATATAAGATATGAGTTAGAGGATATATCTTACTACAAACGATTAAATGAAGCATAGGGCCCTAGAAAAGTTTAATTGGGAAGATGCAACAATATACATGGATTGGGTCCTTAGGAAAAACTGTCTGTAAATGAAAAAAAGTATCACACTATTTAAGAAGAAGGAAGAGAAACAGTCATGTGCTAAAACACTGTTACATAAGCACTGATTTCCGTTCAGTCTTTATACACAATGCTAGCTGTCAAGGTCAATAGCCAAATCTTGTTACAGTATACTTAATTGACACCGCAACTTATTTGACAAAAGAGGAGATTTATTTCTCAGCTTTATGGAGATTGTTTATCAACTTTTCAGTATAACCTTTGACATGGTCATAGGATTAGTCAATCTGCCTGTAGGGATTACCTCATAAACTCTTTCTTGGCCAAAACATGATATTGTAAATATATGTAGATAAATTGACAAGTGTTTTAGTTTTAGTTCAGGATCTCATGTTACATTGTATGTTCTACTTTTATAGTCATGGGTGTAAAGACAGGTGAGAGAGCTTGTGGATGTAAGGATGAGTGAGTGAACTAGTGGGTTTAAGGATGGATGAGAGAGCTGGTGGGAGTAAGGATAGGTGAGAGAGGTGGTGGATGTAAGGATGAGTGAGTGAACTGGTGGGTTTAAGGATGGATGAGAGAGCTGGTGGGAGTAAGGATAGGTGAGAGAGGTGGTGGATGTAAGGATGAGTGAGTGAACTGGTGGGTTTCAGAATGGATGAGAGAGATGGTGGGAGTACGGATAGGTGAGAGAGGTGGTGGATGTAAGGATGAGTGAGAGAGCTGGTGGGTGTATGGATGGGTGAGTGAGCTAGTGTTTGTAAGGTGGGTTTGTAAGCTGGTGGATTTAAGGATGGGTGAGTAAGCTGAAAGGTGTAAGGATGGGTGAATGAATTGATGGATATAAGGAGGGGTGGGTGAGCTGGTGGATGTAAGGATGGTTGGGTGAGTTGGTGTATGTAAGGATGGTTGGGTGAGTTGGAAGGTTTTCATGTAACACACATTAATATGTTACCTGTGGTTGCCACTTTTTTGTAGTAAGTCAAAGCTGTCTCACACTTCATCTCTACACCAATCCCTGCCCAGTACCGGTATCCCTGTAAAAAGTTCATATCAAACATAAGCACCAAGAAACCAAGCCGAGAACCAATTACTGCAATAATAACAAGAGGACATTCCTAACAAATAGACCTACATTCAAAACTTATTTAGATATTCTATTCATCATTGTCTCAAAGGAAATATCTAATAACTACACATGTCATTTCTAACAGGTTAAAAATCATGTATGTGATCTGAATTAATTGTTTATTTTTTCACAGCGGTGATCCACCTCACTTACCAAAGCCATCTGGGCCAAAGGATCTCCACCAAGCGACGCAAAGGTGAAATAGACCAGGGCCTGTTGAAAGATACAATGTGGTGTGTTAGGCCTTATCTCACACCAATTCCATGACCTACTATTTCCGTATTTGAATGAAAGGAGATCTAATTTCACTCAACATGACTGTCTAGATGCTGCGCTATGTGTAAATCATTGTGTAATACTGAAGTTGCTACTGGTGCCTGACTTGGTGCCTGAATAAAATTACACAATGCAAAACCAAAACCAACAAAATCATCAAACCATACACAAACTAATTCCTATAGTAACTTTGTGATTTTGATATGCTAACTTTGTAAATATGATTTGCCACAAATCTTTATCTCTGAAACCATTTTAACAACCTATTTGAAATTGTAGAAGTAAACATTCATGTGCAGTTAGCCAGACGTTAATGATTCCAGAGCAACAGCTCTCCAAACATTGTTTATATACCAATGTTCCCAGGATACGATCCTGTTGCCCCTGAAATAAGACTTTTCCTGAAACTCTGTAGGCATTTTATCAATCAACCATACCTCTGCCTGACTTGAATTCCTGCCAATGCCAGCACTGTTTACAAATCCCATCCCCTGAAAAGATAAATACAAAATGAGGTAAAATTGTGATGGATACGACTGTATTTCAATCTAGATTTTATACCCTCAAAAAAAGCCAATATCACAGTTGTTACTTTGGACAGACCTTGCAGTAAAGAAAGTGAATTTAAGACTGAAAAAGTCACACAAGTCTTCAAGTATCCTCTGAGCAGAGGGTTCAAATAAAAGCCACAGTATCTGTATGGGGACACTTTATACAAAGGGACATCAGGGACATACATGTATTCCTTACAAGACCTACATTGGTCTCTGCTGCAATCACTATTGCTCAAGCATGTGTTGTTTAAAAATGATAACATGGATTAATTGACTTCATAGAAATGAAAGACACAGGCCAACTCAAAAATATCCCTTCTCCAAAGTGTTTTTTTTAGATCAAAACGTTTTCACTGAATAATTTAACAAAGCACAAGAAAGTAAATTAAATTTTTAGAAAAAAGTCACAACAATTAACTTCCTTGTCATAAGTATAAGGATCAGTGAGAGAATTAGGCAACATTATTCCAGACAACCTTAAAACATGGTTAACATATCACGGACGGTTACTTGATCCTATGTACATGCATAAGGGTTGGAGGAAAATAGGAAAATTTGAAAATTGAAGAGTATATCTTGTTAGCATTACTACAGAGAAACTTCCAAAGATGGACAGAGGGACGTTCTGTTTCCTGTTTACTCCCCTTCTAATATCATGAGAGGGAGTTAAAATGTTTTGGATTACTGAGAGGCTATGTTGGCCTTCTAAAATTAGTTCAGTACACAGCATATGAAAGTTGTTGCATGTACACAATTAATTAGGTTAACATCTTCATTTGGAATAATCAATGACACACTCAAAATAACGGGAAATGATAACATACTAAAGAGGAGTACTGACTACATGACCTCTGAGACATCCTACAGAAAAGTATTGACCAGTTGACCTTAAGGACATACTATAAAGAAGTACTGACCAGTTGACCTCTGGGACTTCCTCTTTCACCAAGGTCCTTGAACACTTCAATAGCATGGCTGATATTCTGGGGTAGGTAGTCCCCAAACAAGTGGGCAAAGCCTGTGTATTCTAAGGCATGTGTGTGATTAAGGCTTGCTGCCAGCTGGAAGTACCAGTGTGCTCTACAAATAAGGAATAAATAATTGATGTCTCGGTCTAAAACAAGCAAAGATTTGTTAGATACAAGACACCATTTACAAATATGAATGAGTACTGGTATTCCTAGGAGCAGAACATACCAGAGTAAATTAATGCTTTACATTTCTGCAACAACAACACTTTTGTCAGTAACTGTGAGAATTACATACTGATCCACTAACTTACTGTTCATAGTCTTTCATGTAGGTAGTATTGACAAGTGCCTCCCCTTGTCTGTAGAACTCTTCAGCTAAAAGAAAGCAAGAAGTCTTTTAAAAACAAAAATAAACACAATTCAAACAGCAACATAGTGTACTTTCTGCAATTAGTAAACAATATCAGTACATGAAGATACAGTAGTATTTTATTAAATCAACCTGCATAGTACAACCAGAATGACTTGTGATATTGAATGTTATTGAAATATTGATGTTGAACTATTACTCTCTCACATGACTACTGGTCAATGGTTATGTGTCTGAATACAGTACAGTACATTTATTGTAGATCAAAGGAGGAAGTGGTTTACATGAATTCCCCTCCTGTAATCACTATCACAATGAAAAAAGAAAACAACAGATTATTCTGGTCTGACTATACAGTCTGTACATGGAAAGTATTATTGCCAAAACAAAAGTAACATCTCAAAGGTACATAATGTATATGTATTGATTCTTGGTCTTCAAAACATATATACAGATACACCAGTGCTTTACACTGATAGTACTGCAATATTAAACATACAGTCAGACAAAAAAACAAGGTGGACAGACTGAAAAGGTTCAAAATACTGAAATCACCTGTTTTACATGTGAATAGATAATATAATGTGCCTTACCTCTCAAACAAAGCTTTTACCCCACATTATATCAGACATAGAAGTACAATCTTACCTTTAATCTCTTCAGCTGTAAGCTCAACTTCTTCTTCTGGCTCTTCTGAATTGAAATAGACAGAATTCTCTTGTAAACATAAATTTGAACACATACAGCAGTTTGATATATAAACCAGTTATTTGACACACAATACACTTAAATCAATATGATTTTATTACAAAATATACAAAGAAGATATTTATTTAGCTACAATGTTAAAAAAACTTATAAAACAATATTATCTGAGCTAAATATTCAGTTTGATATAGACACTTAATACTATGATGTATAGCATCTGTACTGTAAACCTTATCTTTAAACCATAATGAAACCCTGTAGTGTATTTACCTCAGTATGATAACAACAATAAAGTGTCTTAATTACAGTCTATCACCATTCTAGCTGTATTCTTATCAAATGGATTCACTATTGCAGGCTACTTATCACAGAACAACTAGATACAGGCGGTGAGTGTTGGACTATAGGCTAAAGAGACAGTTACTGAGACAACATCTCATGTTTCGTCTCAAAATTATAATTTAAGTGAGACAGTAAGTGGTCTATCATAGGTCACAGTATCTGGGAGTTTAGATTATAAACACTTTTACAGAGGTAAATTGGTGGGGATTCATCTGGCCTACTATACTATAGCATAAGCAAACTAAAGCATATAAAGCAGGCTCCAGCATTACAAGGCTGACACAAACATCTATTCATCATACTTTTAAATTAGTAATACTAATGTCTATATAAAGCCAAGTTTCATATTACACCCAACTTTTTCACATTTCATTTCTCTGTTGATACATCAATGCTTTCAAAATACAGGATTTAATTTACTTTTATTCAATGTAAATTGTTGTATTTTGTTTTAGTTATGATACAATTTGACATGATAATGACATTTCTACACTAACATATAAACACCTGTATCATACATTGAATTCTTTGATAAATCAAATGGACTTCAGATATAATGTCACAACAATTTAATATCACAAAAGACCTCTGCTACTAACTGGATAAGGAAAGATTGTATTCACCATTGATAGCACTATAGCATAACAGTATGTATACAGGTAGATACAGAACGCAATCCAAAACAGACAGATACAGAACGTAATCCATGCATAGATCAGTGTTTTGTTAATTCTAAATGGGATTTTATAATATTGGATGTAAAGATAAAGGATTTAGTAAGCATCTACCTGGTACACAAATCAGTGTTCTCACCAGAATTCAACACTGATGCCATATGAGTGTTTGAATTGAAATAACAAAACAGAGAAGTGCTGGCAAGGCCTTTCTACCTTTTTTGGCTTTTTTCAGGCATAATGTTTAAATATACATGTGTTAAAACTAAGAGCATTCAGAGTTGATGAGATTTATTAATGGCATCAAGTTTTTAATGAGGACACTGAAAGTGTTTCTATAAGATATCATGCAAAAGTACAGAAGGCAATAAGACAAACTCATTTGGCAAGCTGAATATGGTTAACTAGTCCAGATAACCAAAATAGACAAATTATTCTTTTTCAACAAATCAACAATCAACAAAACAATTTTTTTTTTAAATGCACACGAAAAAAATCATAAAACAGCAAGAAGTAGAAAGTAACAGAAAATAAAATTCAATAGAACAAAAAACATTCAAAAATTGCAAACAAAACTGAAGAATAAAAAGTATGTAGGCTGGATTACCTCCCTTTGCTTCATATAACTAATCATTGGTAACCAGCTTGTGGTTTGAATACGAGTGTTGCAGCAACACCTACCACTTCACCTGTCAACCAGACAATGTAGGAAAGTTTATATTGAGCAAAAGATTTAATAACAAGATCGACAAAGGGAGGTAATGCAATGCCAATTTCACTCCATCATGTATATACTATGGGTAGAAATTCAGCTAACAAAGAAAGGAATCTCCACAAGCTTGCTACTGTAAGAGGGTGACATTCCTGCAGGGAGGTGTACACTCTCACCTTGAGGTAGAGGGATCTGGTTGTGGGTATCATCTGTAGCCTGCTGGTATGTCACCTTGTCTGGGTGATGTTGGTAGTACTCATCATAGGTCGTATGTATAGATCCATCTTGGCGAATAACCTGTGTGTACTTCTCTATCCTTGTGTAACCAAACTCATCAGCATGATAGACAACAGAAGTTTCCTTTACTTTCCCATGTATATGTTTATACACACCTTCCACACGTCCTGTGTCCAGAGCCTCCTCATCAAATACATTTGGGAAATCATTAGCCTTAAATACCTCATCTTCTTGATCTTCTAACCCAACTCTCTCTTTACCATCCATGTCAAATGGGCGTTCCTCATCTTTTTCCTCATCACCTCTACCTGGATTCAACTGTGATCTTACAGAATCAGCATCTCCAATGTCAACCTCACCTTGACTCCAGTGTAATCTCTCCACAGCCTCAGCATCTTCCTCAACATCTTCACCTTGACTCCAGTGTAATCTCTCCACAGCCTCAGCATCTTCCTCAGCTTGACTCCAGTGTAATCTCTCCACAGCCTCATCTTCCTCAACATCTTCACCTTGATTCCAGTGTAACCTCTCCACAGCCTCAGCATCCTCCTCACCTTCATTCCAATGTAATCTCTCCACAGCCTCAGCATCTTCCTCAACATCTTCACCTTGATGCCAGTGTAACCCCTCCACATCCTCAGCATCCTCCTCACCTTCATTCCAATGTAACCTCTCCAAAGTCTCAGCATTTTCTTTATTGTTCTCATTTTGCTTCCATTTTGTATGTTCTACATCATCAGGATCATCTTTACGGATGCCTCTATATTTCTCCAAATATTCCTGGTCTCCATGCTCAGTGATGTCACCATACTTCTGTCTAAAATTATCTTGTCTCTTGTCATCATGTTCTTCCTCTTTACTGAAATCATTATTCATGAGTCTTTGCATCTTTTCAGTTTCAACTTCTTTGCTATTCTCAGTTTCAATTGGTGTGTATTCTAATTTAATATTCCAATCAGCATGTTCTTCATTTTCTTTGAATTTTTCTCTGTGGTTAGAATCTTCTTCATCTTTCTGTTGGAGTTCTTCAACCTGTATATCTTTGCTAGTACCTGTTGTCAATGTTCTGGATGAGGGACGCTGAACTTCTTCACTATCTGTATCAGCCTCTGTTTCCCAAGTCCGAGTTTTCAAATCCATCATCTGTACCTCAGGATCTGTATACACAATAGTTTTGTCAACCAAACTATCAAAAACAAAGCTTTAGGCCTTACATCGCAGGTTTAAAAATAACTGTAATAGAAGAACTCATAAATATTGATAATCAGCATGCTAAACTGCTCGGAGAAAAATGTATATAAACTCCAAACATTAAAGATGCGAAAAAAAAAAAGAAAAAAAAAACAAAACTTGGAAACACAAGTCAGCCATCAATTTAACATGATTTCCCTGATCTACATGTAATAAGCTTTACAGAAATATATCAAAGATAAAATGTACACAAACAAGCTTGCATCTGTTATGTCAGGATATAAACATTGTGACAGTGCCTGTTATACAATCAGACAGAGACCAATCAGCCCTTGGATGGCTTCAAAACCTGGCATGTTCCCTTTTCACAATTTATGTGTTACTATATGCATTTACCAGTAATTTTCACACTGCCCTGGTGTGCATGCATACTTTCAGCATAAATCATGTTTGTCACTCTAACTTTAAACATATAATTCAGGTAAAACAATACAATGTACAAATAGCACTTCAATATCATTATCAGCATCAGTTTTGATGGCAAATATAAAACTGAAAAAGATCATTTGCATTACTCATTTTAGTTCCAAGAAAAAAAAGGTTTTACAGAAATAACCATAACTATTTTTTCTATAAAAACAAAAATACAATCTAGTGTACAGTTTGGTTTCTTCTGACTTTGTCATAACATCATTGGAATGGGCATTTCAAAGGGACCAAAATCATAAAACTGTCCTTTATACCCTTTTGTTAGATATTCTGTTTCACAGTATATGTACTGTGCATGTATGATATAAATGAAATATTCACTATGTGTCTTAGGGGTTGTTGCAGGGACAGTGCAGATGTGGGCAATATTACTATCATATCAGCATTGTGAAATCATAACCTTCATTATCATTTTTTTTTAAATTACAAACAGGTTATTGATAACTGTAAAATGTTGGACTTTGAAATATCGCATATAGGTCATAAATGTTTAGTTCAACAATTCCTACTCAAGATCGTTTCTCCAAGAAGCTGAGAAATTGGATTGTCGTGAACTGTCATCATTGTGTCCTTGGAGAAGCAAGCACTTTACCCAAATTGGTGATATATGATGGACCTCCCATATGTTCTTCTGTGAGGCAGTCACCAGTTACCACAAGCTTTAGAAGACCCCTCCTCAAATGACCCTGGCTGATGAACCCAGCAGAAACTGACATTACATTTCAGTATTTTGCAAACTTTTGTTTATTCAACCTAATTCGTAAGATAACATACTCCATGTGGTAAAGCTAAATAATGATTATACGATAGTATTTTTTTCTTACTATTTCATAAATTTGAATCAAAATTGTCTTTTTTCTTGTTACCAAAATGAAAAGCCAAAGTCAAAGTATTCAAGTGTGATATGAAGTTAATCATAGCATCACACATCAATATTGACAGCATAAAATCATATCTTTTACTTTCAGCTGCTCAGAAATTTTGAAGATAGCAATATTAGAAGGTATATCTACTGGACTGTAAATACTTAGTACAGAAAGTGTTGACATCCATATATGTTTTGTGTCTGCCCTGGACCAATTGACATGTTGTATGAATTAGTAGTGCTTAAGTTAAACACAGAATAAATGTGTTCACCATCACCATGTACATGTTAGTGTTTTGTATATTAGTGAGTTAATATCTAAATGTACAGCTATAATTGTAGGTAGAATATTAGACAGTGATGCCAGTACTGCTGTGTCATTTACCTGTGTTATCCTGCTGGTTACCCATGCTGGGTGAGTGAGAGGAGGGGTATGGAGGCTGTGGGGTGTCTACAGGTCTCTCCCCCTTGTCTGTGTAACTACCATCCTCAGCTGTGTCAGTGTTCTCCTCTATCATTACCACACCATCTTTGTTCTCTTTATCATTTTTCTGATGTCCTTGATTTAAAATTCCACTACCAACTTTCACCATTTCTTTGTCTTTAACTTGTGCTGAAGGAGTGTTTTGGTCAGACTGTGCTGACAGTGTGTTTTGGTTCACCTGTGTTGGTGGTGCCTTTTGGTTCACCTGTGTTGGTGGTGTGTTTTGATCAACTTGTGATGGTAGTGGTAGTGTGTTTTGTTCAACTTGTGTTGGTGGTGTGGTTTGGTCAACTTGTGTGGGAGGTGTGTTTTGGTTTACCTGTGTTGGTGGTGTGGTTTGGTCAACTTGTGTCTGTGGTATGTTCTGACCATTTTGTGTCAGTGGTGTGTTTTGACGATTTTGTGTCGGTGGTGTGGTTTGACCTTTTTGTGTCGGTGGTGTGGTTTGACCATTTTGTGTCGGTGGTGTGTTTTGACGATTTTGTGTCGGTGGTGTGTTTTGACCTTTTTGTGTCGGTGGTGTGGTTTGACCATTTTGTGTCGGTGGTGTGTTTTGACCATTTTGTGTCGGTGGTGTGGTTTGATCATTTTGTGTCGGTGGTATGTTCTGATCATTTTGTGTTGGTAGTGTATTTTGACCATTTTGTGTTGGTAGTGTATTTTGACCATTTTGTGTTGGTAGTGTATTTTGACCATTTTGTGTTGCTAGTGTATTTTGACCATTTTGTGTTGGTAGTGTATTTTGATTACCTTGTTTTGTTGATGGTGTAAGTTTCTTCACTTTTGTTGGTGGTGTATTGTGGTCAATATGTTTTGGTGGTGTGTTTTCGTTTACCTGTGTTGGTGGTGTGTTTTCGCTTACTTGTGTTTGTGGTGTGTTTTTGTTTACCTGTGTTTGTGGTGTGTTTTGATTTACCTGTGTTTGTGGTGTGTTTTGATTTACCTGTGTTGGTGGTGTATTTTCGCTTACTTGTGTTGGTGGTGTGTTTTTGTTTACCTGTGTTGTTGGTGTGTTTTGATTCATCTGTGTTGATGGTGTGTTTTGGTTATCTGGTAACAAATTAGATGAAGGGATATTTTGGTTATTTTGTGGTGCCTGTTGGTTAAAATGAATTTGGGGTTGGTCTTCCTTTAGTGGAGTATGAGGTTCAAAGTTTCCCTCAGGTTCTGTTCTAGCTTTGACCTGATTTTTATAATTCTGATTACCTTGGTTAGGTTGTGTGAGGTCTTGTCCCTGGGGTTGGGAGTCCTCGACCTCTTCTTGGAATGAGGGATTGTTTCCAGATGGTGGCTGCTTTTGCTTAATATTTGTTTCTCCTTTGTCACTATCAGTCTGTTCAATGTCCTGCTTCCCTAGATTGCTAGCTCTCACACCTCCTGCATCTAGTGAGCTTGCTGACTTAGCATTTAACCAAACGAAAAAAAGTACAAAAACAAAAGTCTTCATAGGCCATTGTTGTCCAAGTATACACTTCATACACCTTGACCGTGCCTCCATTATTAATTGCCCTAGAAAATAAATAGTGCCAATTGATAATTCATGATCAATAGATCAGTACAATGAGATACTTAACAATAATGTAACAAAAGATCCAATAAGGATAGATAACTTGACTTTTGACATAATAAAATGAGAAGTTAAATTCTCAAAAGTACAAAATGACTAGTATTTAAAGCTTGGCCTACCCTCTTTCAGAAAATTAATTTGTCTCAAAATGCAAGTTTTCCACCAAGTAACAGCATTGTTTGTTACATAACTAATCGTTTTAGTGAAATGATTTTATCAAGAAGGCGGCATTGTGCACATATTTCAGTCTGCTACAATTCATTATGTTTTACAGTCAAACTAAGACTGCAGATGTTGGGTAGGACTATCTTTAGAGGGCTGAGAGTCTTCAACGTAGGAATCATAGTACAATTCATGTACACTATTAACTGACTAATGTTCTGTAATGAAGAAGTACATCTAATGATTACTGAAACCCTATTTAATTATGAATATACTATATCATCACAATAATAAATTATCTACTGAATAAAAAAAAACACTGCAGTACAATCTGTTGATCAGACGACCATGTGACGAGTGTCGAGGTCCAACGGCAAATGTGCGATTAGGATCCCCGGATAGACATGAAAAATAGACTAGTGATACAGCTGGCAATAATAAATATGGGATAAAATTGTGAATTTATCATTTTTATTCGATATCTTCATTTCATGACAGGGGATCCGGAGATTTTAGCTATTACATGAACTGGAGCTGAGAATTTTGCATTTTAGAAGTCGAAGTGGAATAGCGAGATTTGTGCAAAAGTTAACAGGTTAAAGTTGCGTGGTAGTGTCGATATGCATCATTAGTTCAGCACTATCTTTATATATTGTAACAAACTGTAAAGTCGGTATCGTACTTGAAAACTTAAAAATCAAGAGCCGAAAAACACATCACTAGCATCATCTTGTCAACTGATCAGACGACAGCCATTTGGGTACCGTAGAGACTAGAGGGATACCTACCTCTCAGTTCATCAATTAGGGCGCGTACAACACATTCACATACCAAAGATCTACGGTATGATGCTAAAATATGATTACATCTACAGAAAAGGGTACTAAAATCTCGTTGTGCCACGTATTTTTACTTTTCAATCACTGTATATATACTGACTTGCCGAATGCAAATAAGACACAGTTTTTGATTGGTTGGTGCAATACAACCGGAAGTACATTTACTACTAATGACAGGCTGTGGACGCTGATTTGAGGGAATTGACATGATATATATACTAACACTAGTGAAACCATCAGTAAAAATTCTTGATATCCCCAAAACCGCAAGCATACACGACGGGAGCAAATTACCAAATCAATGAAATAATTTCAAGTGGAAAAGTTGTTAGCCTTACTATATAGTTCTATCTGCCGCAACCAATTCTTTTTTAATATAGTCGGCTTTAAATTGAAAATATGGACATGGTAATCAGAGTTTAAATCAGAGGCAATACCAACATCTAACTGTTTTAAAAAGCTTTCACTTTTCAACACAAGACTGTCGATACTAAAATAAGGAATCGCTTGATGACGTGATTTACTTAAACAAATGACTTGTGAACCATTAGCAGTTGTCTTAGCAAAATCAATTTATAAAGAAATTTAGTTTGAAATACGAAGGTATAGTAAGAAATGTGTATATCCACAGTTCCTATGTTGTGATAAGGTAGGCGATCAGGTGTTGGTTTACACACGGTCAACAGTCTTTGTTGATCTATAGCTAATGTTACTTGTAGTTAATTATCTACATACTAGAGCACAGGTCAGCATAGATAGGGGGCCGTGCGAGTTGTGTGTGGTCGATGTGGCTGTGCTCATGTGTGTGCTGGTGCCTTATGTATCTTATGTAACACTTGTTTGTTCCATCATATCTAATATCTAGCTAAATATGGTCTATCCATCTGACCTCTATCTGTTTTTTAGTATAATTAGACCTCTTTTGGTCTGCGAAGAAGAGAGGCTAGTCTCCACTGGTGGGACGCCCGCTCGCTCGGGCATTTGCCCGAGCAAGGGTACATCTCAACTTCTTAACTTTGATACGGTAAAGGATGGTTATTATATATAGCATACTTGCATATCGTACAAAAATATAAAGAAGAAGGAAAAAAAACACTGTCATCAAGACCTGGACTTCTTTATTATCAACTCTACGACATCTACGTCGAAACATTTAACACGTTTTCAATTTTACATGAAAGTCGGTGTTCGCGTTTGTATTCCATTACAACTCAACCTGTCAATCCGATTTTGACTTTTTTTTAGTATTTTGAAAGACTTACACTTTATAAAAAATAGATATAGACAAGGTTGCCAATGCCATGATCAAAGAAAAAACCTGTAAGGCCCTTGTTCGCCCTCAGGTAGAATATGCCGGTGGAGTATAGGACCCTTGAATAAGATATAGACAAGGTTGAGATGATCCAGCACAGGCTGCCCGTTTCGTTGCCAATCGCTATCGTAACACCTCCAGCGTAGGCAACACGTTAAAACATCTGAAATGGCGTATCATTGCAGACCTTAGAAAAGATGCGAGGCTGGTAATGGTTTACAAAATACACAATTCAAAAATTGCCACTAGTTCGAAACATCTCAGACCTACTTCAAGACAAATAAGGTATAGTCACCAATTTTCTCTTCAAATTATTTATTTTTCTACACCTGTCAGGAAAGAATCTTTCTTCTCTTCTCAATTTAAGATTGGAACAACCTCTCTCCTGATATTGTCTCCTCTGAATTCTTACTTTCCTTCAAAGTTGCGATTTGTGTCCATCAATTTAATTATGTTCCTTTCTATTCATAGCGCACATTTTGTCTCCATCAAACATGACCTAACCTTCACTAAGTTGACGTAGGCCATTACTTGGTAGAAGTAAGCATTCCATTTTGTCAGCAATTTCCAGACATGAACATTTGGCCTGAAACGAGTGGGTTGAATTCTTATGCTGGACTAGCTGTTGACAATAGATGAACTGCCCATAGGCTTGCAGCAGCTTGTCTCCCGACAGTCTATGATGAGGTTGGCCTAATCAAATCATTAAAATGCCAGGTTTGGGATGGATGTACTATCGGCGAAACAAAGTTTAAATAAAAGCTTGAGTAAGTACGGATAACCACGGGTTTACCTTCTTACTCCAGCACATAATCTCTATAGACCGAAAGTGATCTTGAACCCATACCGAAGATCTAGGAGGAAACTACAACTTTAACAAAATTCACAATAATGGTAAACTAACCTATCTTTATGATCTTTTGTCTCTCTTTGTCTCAGAAAATTCACTATCCTTTTCCTAACTTCAGGCTTAATTTTCAAACTCATCATTTTTTCTTCCGACATTCCGCCTAAGGAATCAATTGAACACATGGCAGAATTTCACACATATCGTTCTTGAATTCTCTGCTAAATTCGCAAATTTGAAAAAATTTATTCGGAGTTAAACTTATCAGATCAACAGATATGTACCATTGTTTTCGTGCTAACAGCATTTATGCAGACCAAAGACTTGAATTGTGTCGCGAACTGAATGACTTCGTCCCTCTGTACCCGCAGCTAATATTATTGGGTAGTTAGGAATTTTCAACACACTCGGCTATATGAACACTTGGCCATAAGGTAGAGATCACCAATTTCTTAGATTGGGTTTAATTTTGTTCACTGCATTTAGGGAATTATTCAATAACAATTCAACAGGATACACCGATTTGTTTTATACATGTAACGAAACTATACACACTCGACAGGAAAAATAATTAACAGAACCAAAAGTGCTGTATCATTTTTAAAAGGCGTGTCCAAAAAGGCATTCCCGAAGTCTAATAACAAGGTTTGACTTTAGCCGTCTCCAATCAACAGATATGTCATTAAATCATCAAAATGTGTTACTAGATCAACAAGGTTAACTATTCAACAAGTTCTATCGGGTATGGCCACTACGCATCTGGTATAAGTTTTGTGCCCGTCGTGTCAGGCGCCAAAGCTTGTTTTGAGGAAACCTCTGTCGCTCATGAATCTTCGGCATTTTCGATCCCGTGGAATGACCATTCGTTCGAAATAGTCCCATACACGCTCAGTTGGCCATAGGTTCAGGTCTAGTGATATTGCAAGCTATGAGAGCGTCTCCATCACTTCTTGTTGACGATGGTCTTGTACTAACAAGGACTTTGGATGGTTTGGCATTGTCATTCATTTGGAAAGGCCGATCTATCAGCGGATGGACAAAGGTCTGCCCATTTAAAATTTCCATCAAGGACACGCGAGCGATACTTATAGTTTAGAGGTAAACATCCCGAAACATCACCAAATTCTGTTGTGCTCAGAATGTTATTCAGATGGCACGGAACCTGCCGTCTGTCAGATTCAGTAAAAAGCGATTATCATTAGATCATTGGACTCTTTACCAAAACCTATTATTCTTTGTCCATCGATCACGCGCCCCTCGCAGTCTTACTTGTTTGTGCCTTCCAACCAACAGAGAATAACTTACTGGTCGGCGAGAGCGAAGTAGCCTATTGTTCGAACGTCTGTTGACGGTCACCAGCTAACGCGATGAATGACGTTCCACTGGTCATGGACGTGCTGACAGTGATGACTGAAGTTTATCTTGTCTATCTGTAGTCTTTCGAGGTCTGCTAGACAAAGAACTCTCGTCATCAGACGCTACGCTAACTGAAAACTAACAAAATATTTGACATCACAACGTGCGTCTACTTGGCTGTGTGTCGTAACACTTTTAATCAGTACCCATCATAGTGTTTCTTCACAGAATCTATGATGTCTGCCGCAAATAGACTCATAAATGTGTCTGGTTTTTATCGTAACTTTTTCTGTTTTCATAACCTCAGTTCTAATGTTTAGAGACAGGCAGAATTAATGTAAACAAGCAAATTGAAAACGTTTTCTTCGAGTTAGTCACTCTGTTAATAACGAGGAAGGGTGGCTAGAGCAGAGGCCATTTGTACAATATCAAGATTGAAGTATGGACCTTGTATGGTATTACTGTACATGGGGACGGAGAAAATCACGTGATATCCTTTTTGGAAGTGCTGGAGTTAACTACAGATATTAAAGATGTTGGACCTCTCGAAATAACATCATATCCTGATGACAGAGTTGAGTTTACCAGGGGACTCGTGTAAAGATTATACAATTATCTACACAGGATCGTAGCCACAGAAAGGTGAATGCTCGCAAGAAAATATAACGTCTTGTCACCTTGGAGAGCATGTTTATCTGTATAATTAGTGTTATATAAAGTGAACGCACGTTTAATGTGACTGATTCACGCCGCATACATGAAGGTGTTTTTACGTGTGACAATCTTGAAGATGTTTTACACATATGACAACATTGATGAAAGCATAAATTTAAATAAGTATATACAAACCTGCGCACTGTTAAAATTCTTTGATCTCTGAGCCAGGTACACCAAGTTTATCTTACGAAATAATGAATACCAAATGAAGTGTGGAAAGTGCAACGTATTCACCTGTGAAAAAACGTTAAGATATACCTGTATTTAATATTAATTAATAGACCTGTCCAAACAGGCATATTCATTGAAATGTGACCACTGATCGATGGGTAAGATTAGACGGTGGTAAGTGTACTTGTGTCTCTGGTGCACCGTGTTTATAACTCTTACTCTGTTCTGTATGTATATGATACTGAGCAAGTCGCCTGAATCAGGCCGAGTCGGAGATTCAGTCAAGCGTGCATTCATTCAGAAACTAGCCACATACTTCACTTTCCACTCAGACCATTGAGATGTACATCATGTTAATTGGGGAGTTCATCTGTTGCTAGGTTGTACTAACATTAAGGTATAAAGATGTCGACCGTTTTTTCCCTTTGCGTGTGTTATGTTTAATATAACCTCTGTGTGGTCATCATCCAAATTTTGATCTAGAAACATATCTTACGTATGTATGTCATTCGTCAAGTAGCACTCTGTATGTTTTAATTGATTGTATTTCTGATAAGAACTTGATCCCAACCTATATCCTGGAAAACTCAGTAGGGAAAACTATTTCAGCCCCATTCAATTAACGTACAGCTGGGGTGAGTCAGTGACGCGAGACTGTCGTAGATACTGTATGTCACAAGACGTGAAGCACGATCGGCCGATGTATCATGGATTTTATAAGGAAGACGACGGACAGTTACCAAAAATTCCTGGAAGCGGGAGGTAAGCGGACCAGCTTAGCTTTAATGAAGACATGTTTTGTCAAAGGACAGCTTGTAGTTCATGACACACACATTCCCGTCGCTAGTATATATGTACAAATATATACAGCCGTTGTACATGCGAAATGATAGCTAGCTAGGTGTCGCCGGCTGTCGCCTCTCACACTCACACGTGCATGGTTAGTTTGATGACACGCGTGTTAGTTACACACTTAAGCATGGTTAGTTTCCCCGCACGCGTGTTAAGAAGTTTTGTCTGTTGTGTAATGTTAATATTTTGACTGCGTATTTAACAGGATTCATTGTGGGATTTGGAATAGTTTTGACCTTAATATATACATCTCGCTGTTGTCATTTTACTATAATAGTAGAGAGTATATTTCTTAAATGTGCCCCACCCCTCAACTGTTGATCGAATCTGTACATGTGTATTCTCTGATGAAGTAGTGACATGCTTGACTGAAGTTTCATCGTGGTCACCGTACTGTAAGAGAAATATAAATAGTGATGTAGAAAGAATGTCTCACACCACGGTCCGCTATCATCTATGATCAGGCACCCTAGGGCGTATATCGCGTGGTTTGCACGAAAACATTAATGGCCTCTTTAAGTTCTTTAACACGCAGGTGAAGTATCATGTGCTAGTGTACGACTTCACTTAAAAATGTAATGAATGCTATTCTTGCCACTCTAGGACTCGAACCAGTAACCCAGCTCTCAATTGTTCTACAATTAGCACAAGTTTCCGCCAGCAGTTCGGTTCCCCCTTCACAAAACTATACGTTACATTTGGAGTGACCAAAGACACACAAAGCAGCTGTATAAATTGTATGATAACTACAACTACAGTATACATACTTATTTACCAGATTATACACATATACACAACATTATAAACAACAAGCACTACAAAACACACATACACTATAGATACACACATACAAATGTAACAGTTTACCTACTGGCCAGACTGAACGTTACCATGAATATTCTAATTGGGCGATATAACATTCATTTTAACGTATTGACACGACTATAATACAACACACTGAGATATAAGTCCGTAGTGTATCTACCTTACCACATATACACCGGACGTGATGTGTCGTATCGCGTGTAGATGACTCCCTGACTATAGAACAAATGCATTTGATATGATGTGTGTATCCTGGGTAGAGGATTCTCTGACTGTAGTACACCTACACTGGACGTGATGTGTCATATCGTGGGTAGAGGATTCTCTGACTATAGTACACCTACCCTGGACGTGATGTGTCGTATCGTGGGTATAAGCTTATCTGACTATAGTACACCTACACTAGACGCGATGTGTCGTATCGTGGGTATAAGCTTTACTGACGATAGTACACACACACTGGGCGTGATGTGTCGTATCGTGGGTATAATATTCTCTGACTATAGTACACCTACCCTGGGCGTGATGTGTCGTATCGTGGGTATAAGATTTTCTTACCATAGTAACATATACATTGGACGCGATGTGGACGCGATGTGTCGTATCGTGGGTATAAGATACTCTGACTATAGTACACACACACTGGACGCGATGTGTCGTATCGTGGGTATAAGATTCTCTGACTATAGTACACCTACACTGGACGTGATGTGTCGTATCGTGGGTATAAGATTTTCTTACCATAGTACACACACACTGGACGCGATGTGTCGTATCGTGGGTATAAGCTTATCTGACTATAGTACACACACACTGGACGTGATGTGTCGTATCGTGGATATAAGATTTTCTTACCATAGTACACACACACTGGACGCGATGTGTCGTATCGTGGGTATAATATTCTCTGACTATAGTACACACACACTGGACGCGATGTGTCGTATCGTGGGTATAATATTCTCTGACTATAGTACACCTACACTAGACGCGATGTGTCGTATCGTGGGTATAAGATTCTCTGACTATAGTACACACACACTGGGCGTGATGTGTCATATCGTGGGTATAAGCTTATCTGACTATAGTACACACACACTGGACGTGATGTGTCGTATCGTGGGTATAAGATTTTCTTACCATAGTACACACACACTGGACGCGATGTGTCGTATCGTGGGTATAATATTCTCTGACTATAGTACACACACACTGGACGCGATGTGTCGTATCGTGGGTATAATATTCTCTGACTATAGTACACCTACACTAGACGCGTTGTGTCGTATCGTGGGTATAAGATTCTCTGACTATAGTACACACACACTGGGCGTGATGTGTCGTATCGTGGGTATAAGCTTATCTGACTATAGTACACACACACTGGACGTGATGTGTCGTATCGTGGGTATAAGATTTTCTTACCATAGTACACACACACTGGACGCGATGTGTCGTATCGTGGGTATAATATTCTCTGACTACAGTACACACACACTGGACGCGATGTGTCGTATCGTGGGTATAATATTCTCTGACTATAGTACACCTACACTAGACGCGATGTGTCGTATCGTGGGTATAATATTCTCTGACTATAGTACACACACACTGGACGCGATGTGTCGTATCGTGGGTATAAGTTTATCTGACTATAGTACACACACACTGGGCGTGATGTGTCGTATCGTGGGTATAATATTCTCTTACTATAGTACACCTACACTGGACACGATGTGTCGTATCGTGGGTATAATATTCTCTGACTATAGTACACCTACACTGGACGTGATGTGTCGTATCGTGGGTATAAGATTCTCTGACTATAGTACACACACACTGGGCGTGATGTGTCGTATCGTGGGTATGATATTCTCTGACTATAATACACATACACTGGACGCGATGTGTCGTATCGTGGGTATGATATTCTCTGACTATAGTACACCTACACTGGACGTGATGTGTCGTATCGTGGGTATAAGATTATCTGACTATAGTACACACACACTGGACGTGATGTGTCGTATCGTGGGTATGATATTCTCTGACTATAATACACCTACACTGGACGCGATGTGTCGTATCGTGGGTATAAGCTTATCTGACTATAGTACACACACACTGGACGTGATGTGTCGTATCGTGGGTATAATATTCTCTGACTATAGTACACACACACTGGACGTGATGTGTCGTATCGTGGGTATAATATTCTCTGACTATAGTACACCTACCCTGGACGCGATGTGTCGTATCGTGGGTATGATATTCTCTGACTATAGTACACCTACACTGGACGTGATGTGTCGTATCGTGGGTATAAGCTTATCTGACTATAGTACACCTACCCTGGACGCGATGTGTCGTATCGTGGGTATAATATTCTCTGACTATAGTACACCTACCCTGGACACGATGTGTCGTATCGTGGGTATAATATTCTCTGACTATAGTACACCTACACTGGACGTGATGTGTCGTATCGTGGGTATAAGATTCTCTGACTATAGTACACACACACTGGACGTGATGTGTCGTATCGTGGGTATAATATTCTCTGACTATAGTACACACACACTGGACGTGATGTGTCGTATCGTGGGTATAATATTCTCTGACTATAGTACACCTACCCTGGACGCGATGTGTCGTATCGTGGGTATAAGATTATCTGACTATAGTACACACACACTGGGCGTGATGTGTCGTATCGTGGGTATAAGATTTTCTTACCATAGTAACATATACATTGGACGCGATGTGGACGCGATGTGTCGTATCGTGGGTATAAGATTCTCTGACTATAGTACACACACACTGGACGTGATGTGTCGTATCGTGGGTATAAGATTCTCTGACTATAGTACACCTACCCTGGACGTGATGTGTCGTATCGTGGGTAGAATATTCCCTGAGTATAGAGCAGGAACACTGGACAGGATTTGTCATGTATTTCCGATGTACAGGCCTTGTGTACTGATAACGGCACATGTAGTATGTATTTAAACCTCCCGTGTGCAATCCTCGCGGCAATTGTCGTATACTTGTATCGATGGCTGTTGTGTTTTTGTTACGACACCTGTCGTGTTTTTGTGACGACAGCGATCGTGCTTTTGTGGTAACATCAGTCGTGTATAATGTTGTCGGTACCTGTCGTGTGGTTTTGAGGACACGTGCCGTATGTGCTCGTGACTTATGTCGTGTGTACTTGTGACGACACTTGTCGTGTGTACTTGTGACGACACCTGTTGTGTTTTTGTGACGACAGCGATCGGGTATAATGTTGTCAGTACCTGTCGCGTGGTTTTGAGGACACGTGCCGTATGTGCTCGTGACTTGCGTCGTGTGTACTTGTGACGACACCTGTCGTGTGTACTTGTGACGACACCTGTTGTGTTTTTGTGACGACAGCGATCGGGTATAATGTTGTCGGTACCTCTCGTGTGGTTTTGAGGACACGTGCCGTATGTGCTCGTGACTTATGTCGTGTGTACTTGTGACGACACCTGTCGTGTGTACTTGTGACGACACCTGTTGTGTTTTTGTGACGACAGCGATCGGGTATAATGTTGTCGGTACCTGTCGTGTGGTTTTAGGACACGTGCCGTATGTGCTCGTGACTTACGTCGTGTGTACTTGTGACGACACCTGTCGTACGTACTTTGTACTAGCTATAGTGACACTGACTCCAGCAGAGAAATTTTAAGATTGAAAAATCAATTTTGTCGCGTTAGTATATCCCGCTTTTTATACCATCTTTAAAGTCTTCATGCGTTAGCGGACGGGACAAAAGCTAATGTGTGACTGCTATGTGTGAATGATACGATAGGTCATTAACAGGTAATGTCATGCAGTGTTAAAAAGATTTACTGCAGAATTTATCAAAAGTTAATCAGAGAGGAGCCATTACTATGATGAAAAAATATTTTCTCTGAATTTGTCAAAACATGTTAAAACACGAAGAGACATAGCTAAAGTATTGCTACAGGTTATCATATTTTTCAACAGCAAAATAAATCAAATCAGTTGTGAATAGAGCATGAACAACGCGTAATCACGTCCAGTTGGAACCAATTTGTTAC